ATTTCGACAGCTGGTGGTATCATTATTCGGAGTATTAAATAAATATTTTATATTACATAAAATTTTATTTTTTATTAATTAATATGTATACATATTAATATATTTACTATTTTAATTTTAAAAATAAGTAATTTTAATATAAATATATATGAATTTTTTATTGAATTGAAAAAAAAAAATAGATTGTAAAAGAAAAAATATGTATAAACATTCTTAATAAATATCTTTGTTGCTCTTATTAATAATAATAATAATAATAATAATAATAATAATAATAATAATAATAATATATTTCACGACTATAAGTAAGATATTCTTTATATCCATTAAATATGCTATTACGTTTTTAATGTCTGTTATATTTATTATTATTATTATTAAACTGCTAAATTTATATTTATTCTGCTTATAGTAAATTATTTTATCCTAAAAAAAATTATTATTCATATATTAGCAACAATAATTAATTTTTTTTTTCTTTTACTTATTTTATCACATTTTATAATTATATAATAAAATTTTCATAATAATCATATTTTATTTTTTGTCCACATACTAAGCAAACATATATAAAGTTAATAGAGACAGAGAGGAATTACACCTTATTATTATTATTATTATTATTATTATTATTATTATTATTATTATTATTATTATTATTATTATTCAATTATATAATATTTTTATTAATAAGAATGAACTTTATTCTATATTATAAATACTTTAAATTTATATTTATTTCCATTGATATAATTAGATTTATTTATACATTAATCTTTACATACATAGAAAAAAAATGTCATTAACTACTATTAAATTATACTCCCTCCGCCCCATATACCATGTCCACGTTACCGTTTCTGTCCGTCCAACATACCATATCACTTTCCTTTTTTGGAAAATGATTACACACTTTAATCTCATTTTAAATTTTTTAATTTTATTTTTTTAATTTTAATTAAACTAATTAGTTATTTTAATCTTAATTTATAATTATTTATATTATAGGATAATTATTTTCACTAATACATTTTTAATTATCTACTAATTACATCCCTCCTAAAATACCGTGTCTACAGTGTAGCAGACATGATATCTGGGTCGGAGGGAGTAATATTTATTAAATTTTACCATAAAAATAAACGATGACTTTATAAGGATCAAGTGGGAGTATAGTATATCACAGTTTTTGTAATTTAATAAAATAATTACACAATTTTATTTATTTCACAATTTTTCTTTTAAAGAAAAAAAATCTAATTTATTGATTCTTTAATTCATTTAAAGTCGTTTACTAATTTGTCTTTTAATTAACAATGATTCAAAAAATTTCTAATTTTTTTTTTTTAATTATATTTTTTATTTTACCTTTATAAATATAATTTATTAAAAAATATAAATTACAAGTAAGGATAAAAAGCTGGAACAAAAATAAACAAATTTTTTTCCCATGCTTTAGATTTTTTAATTTATTGATTTTCTTTTTGGCTTGCAAAAGGTCAAAAAGGAAATGTAAAAGTAGATCCCCATGATTATGGTGTCTATTTTTGGATTAGATTCGGTTTTAATTTTAAAGTTCATATACTCCCTCCGTCCCATAACAAAGTATTCAATTTTTTCATTTTAGTCAATCCCATAACAAAATATCAATTTTTTTTTTTAATAACTGTATTGTCTACATAACATTACAAATACCCTTACAATATATTTCACAAATGACATTATCTTTATATCACACATACTAATAAAGTTATTTTAGTCATTTCTACTTTATTTCTACTATATCTCAATATAATACTAATATTTCTAAAACTACATAAAAAAGGATATTTACTTGTGAGACGAACGAGTAATTTTATATAGTATCATATTATAAAATTTTAATTTATTTTAAAATATTACAATACTTTGTTGACACGTGAAACTTTTATAATTGTAAAACAGAATTTGTTGAGTTTTTGTTGAAGAAACTTATTTAAGTGGGTGTGTTCATTCATTTTTTAACATTTAAAATTTGGGTATTTTTTTTAGTTGTAAATAATTGTAAAATATAATAATTTTTAATGAATATATATATATATATTAGATACGTCATATTTATTTTTAAAATTGAAATGCAACAAATAATTTTATATAATACTCTATCCATTGCTATATATTAGTTATTTACTTTTTGTATAAAAATTTTAGAATATTAAAATTTTAGTAACATTTTATATATAAGTTGATGATATTATTATAATAATATGTAAAAAAAATACACCCTCCGTCTCAGAAGTAAGTATTCATTTGTTTTTTGCACGTACTTTTAAAAATATTAGTATTATCCCTCCGTCCCAGAAGTAAGTATCCATTTGTTTTTTGCACGTACTTTTAGAAATATTAGTATTATATTGAGATATAGTATGAATAAAATAGAAATAACTAAAATAACCTTATTAGTATATGTGATATAAAGATAATGACATTTGTGTAATATATTGTAAGTTGTAAGGGTATTTGTAATGTTAGGTAGATAATACGACTACTAAAAAAGAAAATTGATACCTATAGGACGGATTAAAATGAAAAAATGGAGGGAGTAAATATTTTTAAATTTATATAGGACCCCAAATTGAAAACAACTATAAATTAATTTTGGACATAAGGAATATCTATATTTATTTTTTAATAATAAAATCATAATTGTATATACGCGTGTACATTAATATACAATTGCCATTATTGGAATATACGTGTGTCAATTATCATTCAATGAATTTTATTTTAAAAAATAAAATGAAGTGGTACTTATATGAATGCATCTTTTTTTATATGCATTATTCAATGGGAATTAATATTTTAATTAATTTTATTTATTGCAAGGATTGTATACTTTATGAGTTGCATAATGGACATTTTCAGAATATATCCTTATTCCAAATTATAAAATATTCTCTCTTTTTTTTCTTTTTTTTAATACATAAATGAGTGTTTGGTATTGTTTCACAAATACATATTTTTTAAAAAAATCTATAAAAAAATATAATATAAAATATAAAATATATACACATAATAATAAAAAAATAATAAAAACACATAAAATATAATTTTCTATAAAACTTTCATAATTCTTCTTATCTTACTACAAAAACCTAACAAACAATTGGTGTGTTTGAATTGTATTTTAAATACGAATCAACACTATTTTATTCCCACGGTTCTCAATAAAAAAATATATAAATTTATTATCACAAAATATTATATATAAATACTATTTAAAATAAAATTCAAATAAAAAAAACTCAATCTCAGATCAAAATCGAACACACAATGATGTCTTATTGTATTTTGCCTTTGAGTTTTGATTAATATAATAACGGGATATAATGGGTTTATTCATTTAATATTTGTTAGTTATACAATATTTTATAAATATTACTCTCTCCGTCCTATGTAATATGGGTGTATTACTGTAGACACGAGAATTTAGGTATAGTAAAATTACTAAGTAATTAAGAAGTGGATTAGTAAAAATAATAATTATTTAGTATAAATAATTATAAGTTAAAATTAAAATAAGTAAATATTAATTAAAATTAAAAAAATTTAAAATTTAAAATGCGATTAAAGTGCATAATTATATTTTAAAAAATAGAAATGATAAGTTATGTGAGATGGACGAAAATAGGAAATATGGGCAAATTATGTAGGACGGAGAGAATAGTTTTAAAAATGACAATATATACATACACTAACGAAAAAATAAAACAGGACTATATGTTGTTGAACAAAAAATAAAAATAAAATAAAATATTGCCATGAAAATATATACTAGCAATAGGTTGTAGTATTTTCTAAGGATGAATTATACAAAAACATAAAAGTAAATGCATAAAAAATGATGAATTATAAGGTTGCGTTTGTCGGAAGGATTTCGAAGGATTTGTATTATTTATACAATTTTTTTTTAAAAACATCAAATCAAATATTTAATTTTTATTTTTTTATATTATTCTAAAAATCAATTTTATATTTAAAATATCGTAACAATACTTATTTATATCACATTATACAACTATTCCACTTCAAATTTGTTACTATTTAAATGTCAACCTAAAATTCAAACTCCTAATAAAAACATCCTCAAACCCTCGACGCCTCAGGTCACATGCCACACATGGTTCGTTTAGTGTGACTTTCCCGTCGGATTTGGTTTGCAGTATATTAGGTTCGGCCGAAAGTTTATCCAGTGTGTACTTTCGGGTAGCGGCTGCGGGTTCCCACATAATAATAATAATAATAATAATAATAATAATAATAATAATAAATAAATAAATAAATAAATAATAAAATTTAAACGGTAATTTGTGGTATTGTGTGTGATAAGATTTTTGTACTCATATTTTAATTTGATGTAGTGATATTTATGTAAATAAATATAAATTAAAAAATATTTATAATATATTTATTCCGTTAGTAAAAATTAATATATTTGTAGTTGACACAAATATTAAGAAAAAAAAAAATATTTTATTAGAAAAAAAAGTTAGAGATATGTTCGAAAATTTAGTTATAATTAAATAAAATGAAAATAGAGAATAAAATAAAAGTAATGATCATTATGGTAAATAAGTTTTAATGGAGAGTAAGAGTTAAACGTTGAATATTTGATTTTATCAAAATTAGTAATGAAATAAATTTACGTATTAAGGAAAAAAAGATTAGGGGAGGAAAAAAATATAATAAAAAATGCAAATTTTAATATTACATTGTCTATAATAATTCAATACAAATTTCTAATATTTATTATGAAATACTATAATTTTAAAATTGCGCGTGTTTGTTTGAAATGTTAAAAATAACGGAAAAGGGACTAATGTTTCGTGTATGCAATGAATGGTAATGATAATAGTAAACCAGCTGTAAAAACGTAATCCCAAATTTCCAATACGAAAACGGCGATATGTGTAATTAATTAATTAATTTATTTATTCTATAGTAAGCAACAGCTCATTCATTCAACAACCACTCACCTTCTTCCCCATAAACCATCCCATCCATGCTCTCTCTCTCTCTCTGCATCTCTCTCTGTTTTTGATTTTTTTATTTTGATTTTGATTTTGATTTCGATTTTGTACAATCCATCCTCTGCTTTGATTGATGATTCAGTGAGGAAGGAGGAGCGATGAAGTTGAATATGAATTGCTTGTTGATTTTCGCGCTGGTGGCGCAATCGGCGGCGGATGTAGCGGGGGATTTTCCGACGATGTTGTTTGATGATGGATACACGCATCTGTTTGGTGGTGATAATTTGATGGTGTTTCAGGACGGAAAAATAGCACACATCACGCTCGATGAAAGGACTGGTGAGTTTGATTTTGATTTTTTCTATAAACACGAATTTTGCGTTTCGAATGGGTGAATTTAAGGCGGTGTGTGTTTCTGCAGGTTCTGGATTCGTTTCTCATGATATTTACCGGTATGGATATTTTAGTGCATCGATTAAGCTTCCTGCGGATTACACGGCGGGCGTTGTCGTTGCGTTTTATGTAAGTGGCGCTTGTTGTGTTCGTGATTCTTAGGTTTGATTATTTGATTTGTTAGTTAAGTAGATTTGAAGCAGACGCCATCACTTCCGTTGATTTATCCAAAAAAACATCTGCTCTGTTGTCTCCGTTTCTCGTGAATTTGAAAAGTTTAGGCGGATTATCCGAGATTTTTGGAAATTAAGAACGGTTGATTGAAAATACAATAAATAATTTACAAAAATTGACCAGAGAGTCATTCAACATCATTTATGCATTCCTTAAATGTTCTTCATCTTCACTGTTGCAATGTTCCCTAACCAACTAGATTTTAGAATTGATTGCTTTGATTTTCTGGAATTCAGATGTCTAATGGAGACATGTACGAGAAGAATCACGACGAAATAGACTTTGAGTTCTTAGGAAACATAAGGGGAAAGGAGTGGAGAATACAGACCAACATATACGGCAATGGAAGCACCAGCAGAGGCAGAGAAGAACGATACGACCTTGGCTTTGATCCATCCGATGAATTCCATCAATATGCAATCCTTTGGACCGATAGTCTCATTGTGTAAGCTACTCATCCTCTTCGAATCTCAACTTCTGCAACTTCAATCATGAACATCCATTTCCATCTCTACAATTCCATAATCTGCAACTTTGCTAGACTTACATGGGAACATATGTATATCGTTTGGGCAATCTGGTAGATACCACGTGGTTTATTTCGCATCACGTTCAAACAAAACAGAACTAGAAAAGCGATGTAGCTACGAAACTGTTCGTGTCGATGTTTAACTAACAAACTTTTCGCGCAAATTAAGTTCCAATAGTTGTCGTTTTGCGTCGAACTTGAACTTCAGTTAGAGTTCACACGGACGGGTTATAGTGCTGATTGAGATTTATCTGTAAGCAAATATATCACACTCAAATAGTCACATACATTTATTTAACACCACATACTTTGTTAAGTAAAAATGACGTAAGTATGTTGTATTAATATATTTTTCTTTGTTGAAATCAATTATCGTATATATACTGTATGGGGCTATATGTGTTTCATTTGTATTATGTTAACATAATTCATATTATATTTTCTGTTTTTTTATTACATGTTACCTGTATTTATATTATGTACTATCAATCTTAGCCGATAGCTCGCGATTTATTTTAACTCGTGACTTCATATCTTTGTTGGAATACTCACCGCTAATTCTTTCTCATTTCAATTTATATTAACATAATTTATGTTTTTTGTTATGTACTGTACAAGACTATGTCATATTTTGCTAATTTAATGGTTTATGTGTTTCATTTGTATTATATTAACATAATTTATATTATATTTTGTGGTTCTTCCATTACATGTTGTCTGTATGTATATTATGTACCATCAATCCTAGCCTATGGCTTGCCATTTTTTCGACTTCTTAAGTTTAACTTGTGATTTCATATATTTTCTCCAGTACTTATCTTGAATTCTTTTTCATTTCTAATTAATTTGATATATATATATATATATATTTTTTTTTTACAGATTTTACATCGACGACATTCCTATACGAGAGATTAAAAGGACTGAAGAAATGGGAGGAGACTTCCCATCAAAGCCAATGTCGCTCTACGCGACAATATGGGATGGCTCCGGTTGGGCGACGAACGGAGGCAAATACAAGGTCAACTACAAGTACGCGCCTTATATAGCCGAGTTTTCCAATTTTATTCTTCACGGCTGCGCCGTCGACCCCATTGAAGGCGCGGAGTGCGAAGACGCGCCGCGATTTGCGTCGATGTCTTCGAACATTACGAGCGATCGGAGGGCGGATATGGCGAGGTTCAGGACTAGCTACATGAAATACTCGTATTGCTACGACCGGGCACGGTACAAATCTCCGCAATCCGAGTGTGTGATCGTTCCGACCGAAGCAGCACGGCTCATGCGCGCCGATCCGGTGAGGTTTGGAGGGGCTCCGCGGCGCCACCGTGGAAGGAGACGCCGCCGGAGCCGGCCGGAAAATGATTGGTCGGCGTCCATATAATGGTCACAAAAAGGTAATGTAGCCATTTCCCCCTTTTGGCTGTGCATAGAGATGAAGAAAGTAACTATAATGCATGTTTTGAATTTTGACTGCATTTTTATTGTTTTATGATCATCATAATATAAAATATTATATATATATATATAATATAAGTTTTTTTTGGCTAGGATGATGTATTGAAATAAGTTTATATTATATTAATTTTATTTTTTATTTATATATTTATATGATTTTTATACGTAATAGGGGATAAAAAAAAATAGTATATTATTTTAGTGCCGTTTGATCGAAAGGTGGGAGTTCTAGGCTTCAAATTTTGAATAATAAAATTTTAAATTTAAATAATTAATTAATAAATATAAAATTAATTTTTAATAATAATAAAATAAATAAATAAAATATACACTTGATTTGATTTTAATGAGCTGGCTAGTAAAATATTTCTTACAATTCACAGGCAAACACATTAGTTCGAAATTATAGTAAAAAAATTATGATATAGCTATTATTTTTTATATTGACAGTAACAATGTTTATATATTATGGGGTTTGTTCATATAATTTGATTTTTTGGTGGAACAAACTTTTTCTATATATATTATATACATTAACACAATAAATATAATATATATTTTTTATTTATTTACAAAAGTCAATAATTTAATACAAAATATTACTATATTACTAATATAATTTCTCATTTTTAACATAAAAAAATATATATAGAAAGTGAACCAACACAATTATTAAAATTTATTATTTTTCTATTGAATAATAGTTATTAAAATATAAAAGATACACTCAATATTTTATTTTTGGTCGGAACAGAAGATATTTTATTGATAGATAATGCAAGGGACAAAAGATGTAATTAAACAGGAAATTTTGAAATCCAAGCACAATAAACTAGTATATCTGCATGGAATGGTTGCTGCTAATTTAAAAACAAAAAAATGGGAAGTTAGGCTCTGTGGCAGGTTTTGTCTGCTACGTAGAATAAATGTTTATTCTATTGTATACGTGTTAGGTATAAATTATAATAATAATTATTATTATTTTATATATATATTTTTATTATAGCGTTCGAATCTGTAGTCGCTACTGAAAATGGACACGGGATATTAGGTATACATCTTTTACCACATAAAATATTATATTAAATGTTATTTCATCGGTGTTTCATTTTGTTCGTTAACCCCCTATATAATTAATTTATAGTAAATAATTTATCCGTTTATAATTATATTATTTTTATTTTGAAACATAATAGTAATAAATTTTCTACTATTTTTCTATTATTTTATTACTTTTTAATATTTTTTTCTATTTATTTTATTTCTTTTTATTATGTCTTAATTTTCACATAAATTTGTAAGGAGGAAGTAGTACTAAACATAACTTAATACCAAAAGTCCAAAACTAACATCATCAAGGAATATTTAATAAACTTACATGTAAATTATGCCAATTGTAACAGTGGATTCTTTTCTGTTAATCTATTTGTTTCTAATTTCTATGTAGTATTAATTTTATCATTATACATGTCCACAATGAATGTATTTTTTTTTTATTATTTTTTTTAATGTAAATAAATACTCTATATAACCTAAAATTATAACCATACCACTTTGTATTAATTGCACTTTAAAAGACATTTTAATAAACTAATCAGTCAAAATAAGCATGTTATTAAAGATAGTAAAAAGCTACAATAGATTTCCCCACCGAGATCAATTATAAAATGTGGTTAATAGATCACTGATATTGTCATATATATTATATTTGTATTTATATAAATTTATTTCATGTGTTGTCAATTTATTATATATAATATGCCGCTAATATATAATAATAATAATAATAATTAATTACCCTCAAAACCAATATAGGTTCTGTTTAAATAAAATTTTGAAAAAGTTTGAGAAAATGTATATTTATGTTTGTTTGAAAGTTTGAATTTAATTTGAATAGTTATCCCATGTGATATAGTGCCAAAAGAACACACCTACACTGAAAAGTTTGCCAAATTTTGTTATTTTTGCAAACTCAAATTTACACTATGCATTTCATTTTATTCTATTTTTAATAAAAATATATTATTATTTTCTATCACAAAATCACACGAAACCACTCTTTTAAATTTCAAATCAAAGCCAAACTCACCCTAAAAAGCTGAGAAAAACAAAAAAACATATCTTTCGCAAACAAAGCTTGAATTAAATAGTTGGGAAAAAATTCACAGATTGTAGGATTTCCAATCAGTTCTTTTTCTACAACAATTTAATCTTTGAATTATAACACAAACAAAACAGAAACTTATATATGTATATATTGAAGACAGCAATATATATATATATATATATTTAAATACAAACCTTTCAAGATTGTTGATAAAATTGATTTTTGAGGATGAACACTATTTCATGGAGTCGGCTGGTGCAGATGCAGCAGCTGCAGCAGCTTCTTTCTTCTCTACCAATTTGATGAAATTATGAACTATGGCTTTTCCTTCGTCCGATATGATGCTCTCCGGGTGAAATTGAACTCCCTGCAATTTTATACCGATCATATATATATATATATATATATATATAAAACAAGCTCACAATAACATCTATGCAACGCCAAGAATCATACTAACATATATATATATATATATTGTCTATATAGTTCCAACATAATAATTTGTTGATTCATCTCGCTTTAGATGATGGCAAAGAAGTAACTTCTCTAATATCTAGAAAAATAATATGTTCTGGCACTATTCAACAAAACTTTTTTTTTCAAAAATATCACATCAAATGTATATTCTTTTCTCACAAAACATACATCAAATATTCAACGTTTTACAATTTCAATTTTTTTTCCAAAGCTCAAAAATTCTGTAGTTATACAATATAGAGAAGTTCTTAGAGACTGGTTGATTGATTCACAGAAATGCAAAAGCTAAAGTTTTCTTAAAAAAGAAAAGAATAAGCAATGAATTGAATTGAGATCGAATTTGACTTAGACATTAGGTGCTGCAGAGATTCGAGATTATTATAAAACTATGAAATAGGTAATTTCATGGCCATTCTTATTGCAAAAGATCCTATTAGAATCAGAAGCTTCTTGACTTTTAATATAGACCACACCTCTGTACTACGTTACTCTGGCAGCTCTATTATACCATGGAAATCAAAATTTTTGAAAGTCCGTATCATGAGCTTTGAGGAACGAACACAACAAGCACACTTTCAATATATTGACAATGGAATGTGATGCTCAAATTAGTTTTTTTTTTTTTTTTTTTTTTTTTTTTTTTTTTTTTTGGTTTTGCAAACTGGAATAAGGAAATGTTACCTGTATATGGCGATGCTGTCTGTGGCGGGCAGCCATAATCAATCCATCTTCTGTCCACGCGGTTATTTCAAGGGCATTGCTTGGAAAACTTTCCTTTTCAATCACAAGGCTATGGTACCTAGCAGCAGTAAAGGGGCTGGATACGAAGGAAAGAAAACTAATTGTTAATATAGAATTATAGATCGAATTACAAATTCATATTCCAATATACTTAAACTTGATATTGAAAGACAACGATTATAGGTTATACTAGCTTTGTAATATACTCCTTCCTTCCGCTAAGTTTGTGCTTACTTTCTATTTCAGTCTATCCGCCAAATTTGTGTTTATACCAACTACTTTTTCCATTAACGTAAAATATTACCCTTAATTTAACACATAATAACAATTTTGATATTGTTGTTACATCACATGTACACTAACAATTAAATACGTTTTTGAATTAATTTCTCAAAATTTCCCTATAGAACTTTACTTCTACATTAAGATACCTACCATTTTTTCTTAATCTTTGTGTCTAGACAAACATGCAATTTTTATGGCGGACGAAGGATTATATGAATATGATATGCCTATGTTGTATATATGCACTATTTTATACTTTATGACTTACATTGTAAAGGTTTTTCATAATTCAACAAATTACAATGCTAAATTATCATTTCTATATAAGAGTCAGATGAATAACAATCCCATCACTTAAGCAACACACTAAAAGAGATACACATGTTAAAATTTATTTAAGAGATACACAATGGTTTTGTACTTTATATGCAATAGCCAAGATTTGAGCTGTGCTTCAACTTTAAAACATATTATCCTAAGAACTGTGGAACTTCGCACTATGATTACTGTCAAGTGCGACCATTTATCTACTTCACTAACCATTAATCTAAACACAATCACAAATATATATTCATATATATATATATACACACACACACACACAATCACTTACTTTGATAATCCTGTAAACAGGCCATCTTCCCCACCTTCATTATAGTATACAGGGGAACCTTTTCCATGAACAACACCAAAAGGAGACCTCACAATTTTCCCTGGACATCGAACAAACATATTTATGAACGAAGAGAAGAAAATATTAATTGAACTTTGCTTCGCCACAACCCTACATGATAATGCAAGATCGGAAGTTTCCCAAATACTTTTCAAAAACATAAGCATCCATTCTAATTTACAGCTGAATATTAAACAACAAATTCAAGTGCAATATCAGAATATCTCACCTCCAAAAGCTTCACCAATGCATTGCAATCCCATGCACACACCAAATAACGGCACAGTAGGTCCAACCTCCAGCACGGTCTGTAATGAAATTCCCGAATCCTGAGGTGTACCTGAAGTTGTTCAAACAATAAACAGCAATTAAATCATATGAAAGCACAATTGTTGCTGATTAAAAACCAAGTATGGATTAAATTTTTACCAGGTCCAGGTGATATTACTACACCTCGAGGATTTTTCCTACAAAAATCAATAATACAAGCAAAAATAATTCAGATCCAATCATTTTACAATCATTATTCACTTAAAATGAAAATTAACTGTATAGACAATGTATTGAATATTCAGATCCAAGCAAAATTAACTGAATAATTTAAAGAAAGCGAATGAAACTGAAGCCCCAAAGTTGGAAAGGATTGAATAGAAATTGTTCCCGAATCAAGCATGAAAAAACTCATACCTTTTTAGCTCATCTACGGTAAGTTCATCATTTCTGTATACCTCGATTTCGCAACCAAGCTCACCCAAATACTGTCGAAATCGCACATACGACATAAAATCAGAACTATATACACATCACGCTAGGCAATCAAGCATACTTAACTTAAAAAAAAAAAAAAAAGAAAAAAGCACGGGGACAAAAACAACTGACTTGGCAGAGATTGTAAGTGAAGCTGTCGTAATTGTCGATGACTATGATTCGATTGAGAGCTTTTTCGGAGGACGAACTGGCTGATGACGACGCAGACGTCTTATCAGGAACCGCGAAGGGCATTGTCCGATGAGTAGAATAGGAATGAGTGTGGTAGCGGAGCTTGGATTCGACGGCGAGGCTTTTGGATCTCGGAAATGACTCATTTCGCGGTGATGAAATGAGAAACGAAAGCTTCTGGACAGAAGACGGAGATACAACGACGGCGGCCATGGCGGCTACGGGTAGCGACGGTCGGAGAGTGCGGCGGCGGCCGAGGGTTAGGGATTGACACGATTGTGAGGGAGTATATGGTTTTAGAAAGAAATTTAAAAAATAAATAAATAAATTATTACCAGTAATTAAGGGTGTGTTTGTGTTTGGAAGTTTGGATTTTTAGTAGTAAAAATTTTGAAATAGTTGAATGACTCGATATAAATAAATAGATGATAATGTGATATTTTGAATGTAAAATTGATTTTTAAGTATAATATAATAAATAAAATAAATAGTGATTTAAAATTCAATTCCCAAACAAACACATCCTAGATAGGTTTAGAAAGAAATTTAAAAAATTACCAAATATTATAGAATAGGTTTAGAAAGTAATTAAGTTTTTACTATTTAATTTTTTTACTATTTTTTTTACTCTAAAATCACATTAAATAATTATTTTTTTTATATTATACTATAAATTTATTTTACATTCAAAATATCATATCAACCTCTCTGTTTAAATCACATGAAACAACTATTCACATTCAACTTTTTACTGTTCAAAAATCCAAACCCAAAACTTAAAACCCACGTCCAAACACGCCCTAAAGATTTACCAATTATTATAGAGTAGAATTTTGATTTTGAATAATAAAAAAAATAAATTAAAATAATTATTTAATATAATATAAATATATATTAATAAAATATTTTAAATGTTATAATAAATAAAAAAAATATTTAATTTAATAATATTTAAAAACCAAAGCCTTACAAACAGTCCGGAATGTAATCTAAGGGTGTGTTTGTTCGGGGTTTGAATTTTGAGTTGGGATTTGAATAGTAAAATTTTTGAATTTGAATAGTTGTATGATGTGATATAAATAGGTGTTGACGTGATGTTTTGAATGTAAAATTTATTTTAGTATAATATAAAAAATAAAAAATAGGTGTTTGATTTTATGTTTTGGAGAAAAAAATTGGATGAATAGTAAAAATTTTACAAAATCTTGCAAACGAACACACCCTTAAATCTATGCTGACTGTTTAAAATAAGATGTTAATTACAGTTATATATATTAGTCTTTTAATAGATTACTTATTACTATTTGTGAAAGGCTCTTTTACAATTTTGGAATTTTAATTTAATATTTTTAAAACAAAATATTAATTAAATAATATACTATTATGACTCCATTAAAAGTGTGTTTAATTGAGGATCATGTGCTGATAAAAATAATTATAAAATTGATTTAATACATTAAGGATGTGTTTGTTTGGGGATTGGATTTTATTATTCATCCTATTTTTTTTTTTTCCTAAAAATATCAAATTAAACATCTATTTTCATTTTTTATATTATACTAAAAATCATTTTTTCATTCAAAACATCACATCAACACTTATTTATAGCACATCATACAACTATTCAAATTCAAAAATTTTACTATTTAAATATAACTCAAAATCCAAAACTCAAACAAACACACCCTAAAAAATTACTATATTCAATCATTATTTTTATAGAAAATATAATTTAAAATATTACTATAAAATATAAGTATCTTTATTTGAATGTTTTGACTAGTGTTATTTTTAAATCAAATAATTATTAGATGTAATTTTTTACATAAAAAAATATTTTTATAGGATATAATAATATTATATAGAAAAATATAATAATAAAAAATTAAATGAATATGTTTATTGAATATTTTAATTTGAAGTTTTATTTACAAATAAAATATTCATAAATTTTGGCTGATGAAAAATAACATATAACTATTGCTAATTATTATTTTATTTTACTAATTGAATCAATCAAAAATTATAAGTTAATTGTCAAAAACAGTTTAAATAAATAAACATATAATCTACTATAAATATCAATTACAAAATTAGAATATGACTAAATTATATTATAAATAATAAAAATAAAATTAATAAAACAAATTAAAATATAATTTTAAAACAAATTAAAATTTAAATATAACAAATAAAAAAAGAAGATAGAATATAAATATAATTTATAAATTAATTTATAATTAAAAAAACTTAAAATAGCATCATCTCATCAAATAGTGCTATTCCGTTAGATCCAACCGATTAATGTAAACCATTATCTAGTCAGAGAGAGTAAAATCTCCATATTTACAGGATGAATTTGAGCAATTTTTTTTCAAATACATTGAAAAAAAAAGGTTGTATCTTATGTAAGTTTTATTACAAGATTTTTACTATTAATTTTTTTTTTAAAAAACAAAAAAAAAAAAAATTGTAAATCAAATAGTGTTTTTTATTTTTATATTATATTATAAATTTATTTACCTTTAAAATATCATATTAAAATTTATTTATATTATATCAAATAATTATTCAAATTTAATTTTTTACTATTAAAAAATCGAAAGCAAAACGTCGAAACCCATTAACAAACACATCCAAAGTTTTTAAGTTTGTGTTGGATATGGTCTCAAAATGCACTAAGGGGGCGTTTGCTAAATGAAATTGCAGAGAAATGATAATAGGGAATAGAATTGGAGAGAAATAGAATTGAGTAGAGAATGAGAATTAATTCTCTTGTTTGATAAAACAGAGAATTGATTTGAAATTTTTTTAAAAAAATGCAGATATATGAATGAGCAAACAAAAATAAATGATTAACACGATAAAAAGAGAGTTTTAACGGATGAGAATTCATGAAAAATATTTTTGGTAAATTTTTTTTAAAAAAAATTATAAATTATATACAATGTTTTTTAAGATTATATTTTAGTACAATTTCTTAAAATGTCGTAAAAATTAAATACTTTAAAAATAAATTAAGTTTGTTTTTTTGTAAAATTAAAATAATATAATTTTTAAAAAATTATAAAAATTAAATAGTACAAAAAATTTTAAAAATTAAAAAATATATATACTGCAACATCATTTCTCTCTATTTTTCTGCATAGAAATGAAAACAGAGAAATGGAAATGATTTATTTTTCAAGTTCTATTTCTCTTGACTCAAACAAACAAGAGAAATGATACAATTTTCATTTCTCTGGCCTCATTTCTCTGTACCAAACACACCCTAAGGTGTGTTTGTTTGGGGTTTGGATTTTGAGTTGAGATTTGAATAGTACAAAATTTTGAATAATTTGAATAATTGTACGATGTGATATAAATAGGTGATGATTTGATATTTTGAATGTAAAATTGATTTTTAGTATAATATAAAAAATAAAAAATAAATATTTAATTTGATATTTTTTAAAGGAAGAGAAAAAATTTTGAATGAACAGTGAGATTTCGTCAAAATCCATCAAACGAACGCACCCAAAAAAATATATAGGAATAATAATTTTCGTATTAAATATATATATAAAAAAAAAAGGTGAATAATTCAACAAATAAAATAAAATACGGCAAACAGAAACCGATATACAGTATTAATTGGAGAAGAACCTTACCGATACAAAGTTACAAGTGAATGGACGATACTGCCCTCGTAGAATATTCTAGTAGACCTCCAAATTTCATTAATTAAAAAATAAAAAAAGAAACCGATTTAGACATATGCACTGTTGGACAAAACAATACTAATAAAGTAAATTAATTCATAAAAGGCACCGAATTTTATATAGAGACGAAGATTATCTTATAATTTATTATAATTTATTTTATATTATGCACAGATATAGGTGTTTGTATAGGTGTATATATATACACACATATAAAGGTCCCGAAAGCTCCCACAGTGATAACTAACAGTGAAAAATAAAAGCCACCATTTAAGACCAGCTTACTACTTCCATACGCGTGCTTCACAAGCCATTTTCGCTCTCAGATCTTGTTTTCCCCGTTCCCACACACTCAGAAATTTCCTTCTCAGATCTGGAATTCGGCCATCAGGCCCAGGCTGCTGTTGCCGCACTCCCGCGCATTGCGGAACGGATTTTGTTCGCACTGAATTTTGGGATTTGTGGTTGCGCATTCTGCAATTTGCACCGATCGCTGCAGATCTGTTGACGGTTCCTCAATGTGCTGAAATCCGTCTACGTTGTGATTACGGATGTGTGTTGTGTTTGATTTTGGGGGAGAGTGCGGTTTCTGTTCGTAACTGAGGAAGGGGAAGGGGATTGTTGTGATTGTTGTTATTGTTTGCGTGGGGGATAATTTATATCTGACATGGCATTGCAATCAGGGGCAGTGGCGGCGCCGGAGAAGCTATCGGTGCAGTGGTACAGCAACCAGCAGCCGCTGCCGCTGCCGCATCATCAGATGGATGAGAGGGACGGGTTACTGATGTGGCTGCGAGGTGAATTTGCGGCTGCCAATGCGATTATCGATGCGCTGTGTCACCATTTGAGGGCGGTGGGGGATCCTGGGGAGTACGATGGTGCGATAGGGTCGATACAGATTAGGCGGTGTAATTGGAACCCTATTCTGCATATGCAGCAGTACTTCTCCGTGGCTGAGGTTGGTTATGCGCTGCAGCAGGTGGCCTGGAGGCGCCAGCAGAGGTCTATGGGGTTTGATGGGAGTGGGAGGACGGGTGGAGGCGGGAAGGAGCCGAGGCGCGGAAGCAGGGGGCAGAGAGGAGGTTTTGAGCTGCAGAATTCGAGCGATGTCGTTATTAAGGATATGAACGACGGGCATGTGAAAAATAATCTGATTGCGTATGAGAAATTGGATGGAGGAGAGAAAGAGAAAGTGGAGGAGAAAGAGGAGAAGAAAGGTAAGAAGAACACATATTGTATCTATAGATATAAAGAAATGCATATGATGGTGTGTATGGGAAAAAAATCTAGTAACAAGTTACTTGATTAATCCAAAACATACCTAATTTGCCATGGGGGATTTCTTGGATTAGGTCACTTTACTTAGCTGCCAAATGGCAGTTTATGGTTGATTACTCATTGCAAATTAATTTTCAATCGATCATGCATGCAACCATTTACTAATAAGACAAATGGCCATGTTAGTTAAGAAAGGCTTTTTAAGGCATGTTAAGTTGAAAGATAAGTTTATTTTCAGGTGGGCTGTGACATGGTAATGCAATTTCAAAGCTCACTTCCATGCACTACTAGGTTCTTGTTAGGAAATTTAATAAAGAATTGTCACACTGCTTTAGCAGGAGTTGATTTTGAATTGCGGTTAAAAATCTGGAACATTGTGGGGACATAAAATTCATGACAGTGGGGTTGAGTTTAGTGTTCTAAGATAGTGGGGTTGGGTTATGATTTTTATTTCTTTAATGTGCTTGAAGAAATTAGTGCCGTGAAGTTGCCTATGTGGATGCCATGCCTTTCTTGTTCTTTTTTAGGAAGCTTCATTGTAAAATACTTTGTTGAAAGTAACACCTAGGGAATGGCTTCATGAGCAGTATGTATGTTGAAATGTTTTATGAGACTTAAATGCAGTATAACAACAGGGCAAGAAAAATCTGATTTAGTCAGAACATGTTGGATAGTTTGCCATGTTTTATGTTATGTTACTTGTTGCATGCGTTTGAAAAGTTATATTTGCTAGAATTATCAAGAAAGATGTTACATATTCCAGTTCTTGCAGGAGTTACATTTATATTATTCAATCACCTAATCTTACTTTTTAAAAATTGAGTATGGGCTCAGATTTCTATAATTAAGGGCTAAATGCTTATCTTGGTGATGCTGTTGAAGCACTTGATTTGTTTATTTGATATGGAAACTACTGGTTGATCAGTTAAACATTTTACTTCTGATGTAGCAAACCCTTCAAATATTTTACCTTGAATCTTAACCCTGAAGACTTATGTTGGATATCCTTTTCGTTCTAAGACCTTTTTGCAGGGGGGCTACTACATATAAAAACTGATGATCCTAAAAGAATGGCATATCTGTGATAATTCATTAATTATATGTCATTGCTAAAACTATACTTCGTTCTTGAGATCTTATTACTCCAATTTCAAATAGAACATTTTGAGACTAATACTTCTTTTTATGAAGTTTTTGATTTGTCATTTGTTGCTTATTGGTGATATAACAGAGCTGAATAAAACAACTGAAGCAGATAGTGTAGTGAAGGATGGGATCTCACAGGGATCTGTGGGACAGGCAGATGATAAGGCAGAGACTGCAGGTGATGTTTGAGCTTCAGATTCAGAAATATCTACTTACGTTATTTTCTTCTCTGATCATCTTATGATTTTGGGAGCATGGAGTTTTAGTTACCTGCAGGATTTGCTTCCTGTAGAGCAGTTTATTCTTGTATAATTTCCGAGTTATATACACTGTAAAGGTCAGTTGAACTGGATATATGTGTGTGTGTGTTTGACTGGGTAAGTTGAAGTGGGAAGTTTCGTACATTGTAGAGCTGTACACTAACAAAGGAAAATTGATATTTACCATTGCCCATGGAAGTTTCTCTAGATATATTTGTACCATTTCAAACTGTTGGTGCTGCTTGGACCATGATTCGTACTTTAATCCTGTGTCTTCCATTCTCAGGGTCTTTCAGTGTGGATGGATCTGGATTAGAAGGGAAACAAAACCTTGAAGTTACTCCAAAAACTTTTGTTTCTAATGAGATATGCGAGGGAAAATCGGTATTAGATGTTCATTTGATTTGATTTGTTAGAATGCAAGTTGGATACAGTTACTAGAAACAAACTACTTTGATAACCTGTTCTGTAGGTTAATATAGCTGAGGGTATGAAGTTTTATAAAGATTTCTTTGGTGATTCCGATGTTTCGAAGCTTATTGCTTTGGTTAATGACTTGAGAGCTGCTGGGAGGAGAGGACAGCTGCCAGGCAAGTTAATCCATATGGCATGACCTTACACAAATGAACTGATTTCTACATACCAATGAATTGTTTACTTATTTTTTAATTTCACATACATGTCAACCATGTAGTTTATTTTTACAATATGACATAATTGAACTAAGATAAATTATTACTTGTTCTATCCTCTTTATTGTTATTATTTGTCAATTCCGATCGTCTTCTGTGCTAAGTACTCTGATATTTGTTTGTGGACATTAGGCGTATTCTCTGCTAAGAGACTCAGAGCCCATCAAAACTGTATGGGCATTTTTGTCTGTAATAAATTTATCAGGATATAAATTAGAAAAGGATGTGGCAATATAGATGCTTGAAGGTGACACTAAGTGGGAATTTTTAGAAATCTCTTTTCTTTGCTCGAAGGATGAGGATGACTGCACTAACTGTTGAAAGTTTACGGGGGCCATCATTTTTATGATATAGTCTTTGTCTTCTGCGTGTCTAGTTTATTAAAAGACAGTGACTTTGCTTGTCCGGTCTGTAGACATGACTATGCTTTGCATATATGGCACCTAAAGATAGAATGAAATGAAAAAATCCGTCCATTAAGCATCATGTTTTTCACATTGAATGGTTTAGAACATATACTATTATGTTTTCGACTCTTTGTTAAGTTATGGTTATGAATGATTTTGATTGCTTGTGCTTTACCGGGACATAGTGATAACTCAGTGGAGACACATGTTAATAAATGATAGTCAGTTTGCATGTGTAACTAATTTCTTGCTGTCTTCGCCAAGCAGGTCCAATTTTTGTTGTCTCGAAGAGGCCAATGAAGGGACACGGAAGAGAGATGATTCAATTGGGCGTCCCTATAGCAGACGCACCTCCCGAAGATGAAACTGTCACGGGGACTTCTAAAGGCATGATCCGAAACAATCGTGCACATTAGTTAGTTCTTTTTCTGTCTTTCATGAGATGGCTGTGCTTGTTCACGTTTCATCGACGCATATAATTTCTATCAAACTACTTCATTTAAGCTACGGGTGTATTTTGCAGATCTAAAACCTGAGCCCATCCCGGCAGCGATTCAAGATATTGTTCAACGGCTACTCACTGAACACGTCATCAATGTCAAGCCAGACTCCTGCATTGTGGATGTTTTCAACGAGGTTTTCCACGAGAATCTGTGCTTCTGATGCCCTAACGATTTCTTTCATCTAATCACCGCAACGCTAATTCATCTGCCCGATTGTAGGGTGACCACTCGCAGCCTCATATCTGGCCACAGTGGTTCGGTCGGCCTGTCTGTGTGCTGTTCTTGACCGAGTGCGATATGTCTTTTGGTAAGATATTGACAGTCGAACACCCTGGCGACTACCGAGGTGCCCTCAAGCTCTCCCTCTCCCCCGGGTAATTCAGCCTTACATATTCTATGTCATATTGAGCTGAATTTTGCCATTCTTCGACACCTAATCTATCTCGACAGATCCGTGCTTGTGATGCAAGGGAAGTCTGCTGATTTCACCCGACACGCAATACCGTCCCTTCGCAAGCAACGTATACTCGTCACACTGGTGAAGTCGCAGCCCCGAAAAATCGGCGCCGGCGATGGCCCCCATCGCTATGCATCCGTCGGGGCCCCTCCTTCCGGATGGGCCCCACCTCCGAGCAGATCACCGGGTCACATCCGTTCCGCCGCTGCTGCCAAACATCTGAACCCCATTCCACCCGGCGGCGTCCTCCCTGCTCAAACTCCCCGCCCGCAGCTCCCCCCGCCAAACGGCATCCAACCGATCTTCCTACCGGGACAGGTAACGCCCGGCGTAGCATTCGCTACGCCGGTTGCTCTCCCGCCTGCCTCCGCTGGCTGGGCTGCACCCTCCCCGATGCATCCTCCTCCTCGACTGCCGCTCCCCGGCACTGGAGTCTTCCTTCCGTCCAAAAGCAGCTCCGGCAGTAATAATTCCTCGAGCCAGCCTGCTGCGACTGCGGCTCCTGAAAGTGCCAACACCCAAACTTCGCCAGGCCCTGATGATCCTGCTGAAGGGGAGACGGATAATCGAGTTTGCAATGGGACAAATGATGGAACCAAGACGGCTCCGGCTACAGGTACAGGTACAGCGACGAATGCTAAAACTAGTTCTGCTGCTGCTGCTAAGGAAGAAGAACATGAAGGTGGTGGTGTAACAGGCAAATCATCGCCGGAAGCAGCAGCAGCGTAGTCGGGAAGGTAATCGAGTGGCGACGGCGCGGAGAGGAAATGAGAGGAGAGGAGAGAGAGAGAGCTTCATTCTTTGAGGGCAATGAGAGAGAGAGAGAGAGAGCAAGTGTAAAGAGGGAGAGAGACAGAGAGAGAGAGTCAGGATTTTGGAGAGTTCATCAATGGAGGAAGGAGGAGGAGAAGAAGGAGACACAGAGCAAACTTCTCTTCCTCTTTGGATTCATTCCTGCTTTACTATTTACTATTATTATTATTATGATTAGTATTTTTAGTTTTTATGGTTACTACTACTACACCTCGTCCAAGTATTTTCAACATTTTTATGGGGTGATTGTTTTGTCTTTATAATTTTATTTTGTTTTTCCTTCTGATTTAAAAAAAAAAATAAAAAAATTAGAATATTAATTGGATGGAATATTATATTTTATATATATATATATGTATCTTATATGTAGGCTGCAAAACGACGTCGTAAGGTCCAACGATTCGATTCTCCCTTTTCTGTCTTCCATTTATTCGAAATTTCCCTAAATGCAACAGCGCTCTGCTTCACCGCCTTTGCTGCTCGCGAATGATCTACGAGAATCACCCACCAGTTTCTCCGACATTGAGGTGAGTTGGCGTTCTTATGTGATTCCCCCTATTTGTGCCCTTCGCTACCTGCTAATTGAGATCTATTTTCCATTTCTTCAGGCGCCTCACTTGTTGAGCAGAAATTCCGGTGGTTTCCGTTTTCCGCGAATTTCTGGAGCAGTCGTTAACTGAGGTAAGCATTTTATTGTTTGGTTCTGTCATGCTCGGGGTGTAGTCTTTAATGCGCTAAGCTATGGAAGTGTGCGACGTATGTGCTCTTCTTTGCTGTGTTATTCGCGTAAAAATATTCAGTTTCTTTGGAATCACTGTCTGTTTTCCACGGTTAGCTGTTCGAGCATTCTGAGTTGGGTAATCTGTAGCCTAGTATGTATTAGGTTGATTGTAACAGTATAGATAAGAATGAATGAATGCTCTGCTATCAATCTAAACACGAATTCCTCGAACATTTAAAGTTTGACGTTGTTCCAAAGGTATGCCTAATTATTTAAGTGACAACATGAGGACCTCTTATCATTTAAGTTTTTTTGATCGGAAAACTGCTGGTGAGGAGAATTCTTTCAGTCAGGGCTCCAAACCTACAGTAGTGATTATAATTCATCCTTATGATTGTCCAGAGTGTGCTATTAAAGGTTAATTTTCTGATATTGAGACACTACATAATCAAGTTGTCTTAAGGTAGATTATAGTTGTGACCTAGCACATACCGTACAGACCAGCCCTTTAGTATTTTGTGTGGATTGAAATCTCAGAGAGAATCTGTGATAGCCACAGCTACCTTCTCATATTGGACCTTATACACACCATTTGATGTTTTAGATTATCTGTCTCGGTTCTGCTTATTCCCTTCCTTCTCTTCTTCACTGTTAACTTTTTGGTAAATATCACATAAACTGAGTCTTCAATCTTCTATGTAAAGGGAATTTCTTGCCTGTTGTTGGATAAGTGAACTTTGGTTACTTATTAAAAAGCTCTTGCACTGAGTCTTTGTATATGTCTTTTCCAGTTAACTCTTATAAAATAACTTGTTCTACATCCCTCAGATGTTGTATGATGCATGCAATACCATGAATCGCTATAACCAGAAGTTAATTATTATCAAGCTCAGAATTCTGGGGAGTAATATATCTGCATTATCTTAATTTATCACATCAGAAAAAGTTGCATAGATTATATTGGGCTGAATCTCTTGTTTATGATGAAAGGAAATTTTGTTATATCCATTTCCAAATCCATGGCTGCTGAAAGCCGCGAAATTTTGATGTTGAATTCAATGGAGTGTTGTATCGATCTATTGATTTGAGATAGTAGAGAGAATGTTTTGGGTATTATTGTTACCAGTTTGTCATCTCCAATAGTTCAATAATAGCTCTCTCTTCTTTCTCTCTGTGTGTGTAAAAGCTGATAGTTTTATGTTATGCAAATAATAAGTCTCTATGTACATGTATAATATGCTATACACTATATAATGATCTAAGGTATTGTATTTTACTCACTGAGCTTTTGAAAATCTTCCATTAATTTTTCCTTGCTTGTTGAATAAAGAGAGTGAATTATCACAAGGGTTTGCTATTTCAGATGCGAAATCTCCTAATAAGAATTTTCTAATTGAATCTATTCGTAATAATAACAAATTCATAATAATCACTATTCTTACATAATATGCCAGTCTTAGCAGCTGGTTGAAATCCATAATGATTAAGCTCAACAACTCAATCCCCCGGAACTGCCATTGCTTAGTTTTACTAAACCCTTTCTTCTAGAAATCTTCAATAAAAAGAGTATGCCAAAGGTGTTAGCTTTGGATAAGTTACAGCAATGTGTATCTTATGCTTTTTTGGCATCTAATCGAACCTCACTTGATATCTAGGAGCATCTTAAAGAGCCATGGCTAAGCACCACCCTGATCTGATTATGTGCCGGAAGCAGCCTGGAATAGCAATCGGAAGGCTTTGTGAGAAATGTGATGGAAAATGTGTAATTTGTGATTCCTACGTGCGCCCATGCACTCTCGTACGAGTTTGCGATGAATGCAACTATGGATCATTCCAAGGTCGCTGCGTCATCTGCGGAGGTGTCGGGGTTTCCGATGCTTACTACTGCAAGGAGTGCACTCAGCAAGAAAAGGATCGCGATGGGTGCCCGAAAATAGTCAATCTAGGAAGCGCGAAAACGGATCTGTTCTACGAACGCAAGAAATATGGATTTAAGAAAAGGTGACCTTACTCCCTTCCCTTCTTCAATATTTTGGACATAGTTGGTCAATATGCATTAGAAATGTGTCTTTACAACCTTGTTTTGGCCCGACTATTCTAATTTGTCTCTTCATGTTCGACTATTTCTCTTATTTCCGATGTCTTGTGTCTTTGCATGTTAATTTGGTACTCCTTGGCTTTTGATGATTTCTGCTTATATTTCTAGAATTCGGTAATTCTTAGTTTTGATGATTTCTTTGATGATAGGGAGTTTGTTTGGTTTTGATTTGAGTTTGAGTTTTTTATTTGAATTTTAATATTTTGATATAATATTTTGCGATAAAAAATTATGTATATTTATCGAAAATCGTACGTGCTGAATGGTGGTTGAAACTAAAACATGTGTTTGGATCTTGTGTTGTAGAGAATTTGTTAGGTAGGTTGTTTTGTATGTGTTTTGTATTAGATTTTTTTTTTTTTTTTTAAATATAGATATTATATATGACATTTTTAGTGACGGTAGTTTAGTGCACAAATAAGAACGAACGAAGATACTAGGGAACCATCTAAGTTTGGGTCAGTTTATGTGTTGGTATATATATATACCTTTTGAAATTATAATTCACATTTATTTTTGTGTGATGCTATGAATTATATCAGTTTTGTGTAATAAATTATTTTGAAATAGCAAAATTTTAAATTGAAAAATATATAAACCAATTTGGAATTTTCTATAGAACTTGTAACGTATTAAACTTGCTTTTGCCAGCTCTGAATTATTGTGTTGAAAATGAGGCTCTTTTAGTTGTATTTATGTACATGTCAATATTCTAATATATATTTAGAGTTTGTTTAGTTATGGTTTAAAGTTAATTTAAAATGTAAGTGGTTTAAATTATTTATTAAAATTGTGCAGGAGTGTTGATTTGAAATCATAAAAGAATAAATTCTTAGCTTTCTTTTATATATATATATATATATATGTGTGTGTGTATATCAGGTTCGTCTAATGACTTGTGAGATCGTATAAAATCCTTTGCTTAAAAGTAACGACATTATCTATGTAACGTAGTGAAATAAAAAAATTTAATTTATCTTATAAGTTATCTATCGTTTTTATGTCTGTCAAATATAATAATGATGGATGTTTTTATTGGATTCTATGTACTAATGTGTAAATTAATGATTCATCATAATGCACGTCTTTCCTCCCCTGATTTTGGGGGCTAATTGTAAAGTTGTATTTACTTTTAGGGTCGTTTTTTAAAAAAAAAAAAAAATAATGGAAAATATCAGACCTAGTGGAATGAAACAAAAGATACGTGATTTTAATAAAAAAGAATTACTAATAAAAAATGGATATTGCATTGTACAGTGTATGTGTAAGTTTGTTCTTTTTGGCGTTTCGATCAGACTGGGAACACTTTTCAACAAAATCTGTACTTTTTGTATGACCAACTTTGTTTATTTCAATAATAATAATAATAATAATAATAATAATAATAATAATAATAATAATAATAATGTTTTTATTGAAATTAGCTGGGCTTTTTGACAAAATATATGCCCTAATTTCGGAGTGATTGATTTTATTTTATTTTTTGTTTATTGCTCATATTTATGGAGGTCGTGATTTATGGTCACATGATATTAAGGTTAGTTTGAAAATATTAGCAGCAAGTAACAACTCACACAACAAATACTATAATAGCAATGAATGGGCAAGAAATGGGGGTTGCGTGTAATAGCTACGTAATTACACCTGTATGTATCTGAAAATTACGTTACGACATAGTTGAATAATAATAATAATAATAATAATAATAATAATAATAATAATGGACGTGCGGTGCAGTAGTTGTCCAGAATTAAATTAACACACACAGAAGCACTACGACTAGGTCTAGTAGTCAACTCTGAAACACATGCATACATACAATCAATTCTTTTTTCTCTCTCAGTATTTCACATTGTAAAAAATGTTTAGACTACTTCATTTAATATTTTAATTAATTATAGACTGCAGATATGCGATGATGATATAGGAGTGATAAATATATATATTTATATATATCTTAACATATATTTTATTATAAATATTCTAAAATATATATTAATATTCCTATCGGATATACTGATCGGTTAATACATTTGTTATAGTCGTTGATAGCACTCAAAAACATCTTAGGCTTTGATTTGAAGGATTGGATTTTAAATTTACTATTCATTCTATTTTTTCTCTTTAAAAACATCAAATTAAACATCTATTTTTTATTTTTTATATTATACTAAAAAATGAATTTTACATTCAAAATATCACATCAACACCAATTTATATCACATCATACAACTATTCAAATTCAAAATTTTTACCGGCCCCAAACAAACACAACCTTAATAGACATTTATTAATTAATGGAAAGGATGAGCGGATTGATATAATAGTATTATAGTGGGTCATTTGAATTTGATGACATTTTTCTTGGTCAAACCTGTTATACAAAAACTCTTCTGCTAGCTTAATAATACTCCTTGTAAACTCAACAAGAAGTAGTGACTACGTAGGTATCCATCATAAAATAATCACAATTATAATAGTAATAAAAAAGCCCACCAACCCCACACATCCCAATACGTGTATATTATTTATTATATATACATTTCTAGAGAGAGAGCAGTCATCGGCACAAAATCAGGAGGACAGCAGTAGGCAGGCAGCATTGAATTTAAATGTAAAAAAAAATATTAACAATAATAATTAACAAAGAACAACGATGGCTACACCCTACAAGTGAAGCTCCACAACATATCATCATATAATAATAATACTCAAGTAAATAAATAAATGAATAGAGTGTGTTTGACACCCGCACAAACAAACAAACAAATATTACAAATTACAATCACTATCTACATTCTGTAATGACTGACTGACTGACTGACATACATACAATATCAATATCTCAATCATATATATATATATATATATCTACATCAACAAAATAATCCCTTGGTAATCAAATAATCAAATAATCAAATAAACAAAGTGTAGTGTAGGCTACCAATTTCAACACCATCCCCCACCCCCACCCCCACCCCCACCCCCACCCAGCTGGCATACACAATACTACAACTTCACATCATCATCCTACTCCTAATTCTTCCTTTATCAACCAAACCAAACCCCACTATTCCACTTCCACGTCTCCTCTCTCTCTCTCTCTCTCTAAAATACATACATACATACATATAATCTCTAATATAAATCCCTCTGGTTCCAATCACATCCTTATCCACACAATTATTGAATTGAATTGAATATATATGCATCCATACAAAACTGCACATCAACCCCCCCAACTCCCATCATCCTCCCCAACCCCAACCCCAACCCCAACCCCAACCTATCTATATCTATTTCAAACCAAAATAACCACTCATCACAATAAAAACACTTCTATCAAAATAACATTCAAACCAAAACTGATGATGATGACCAAGCAAAGCAGCTCAGCAAGAACTAGCAATGAAGTTCATTGCCAAACCATCCAATTCTTCCAAACATTTTCCCAACTTAAAAATATAAATAAATAAAACACATATTGCATTCTAGCTAGACACACAGAAATTGGCTTCAGATTCAAATAAAAATGGGCATGCATGCATCATAATCATAATCATCTCTAACCACATGAAATCCCTAAATTACTACAATAAATATCTCACTTCACTCACTGATCATTAACAACGATGGACGATAATCATAAAAGGTGGTAATCGAAGTCAAGAATCAAACCTCAGCCAATATTCCATCTTTTTTACCGGCCATCCGACGACGTGAACGAATCCGCAAACCCTGAAGGCCGAGTCGGAATGCTCGTCTGAGTGTTGTCACTGCTTCCGATGTAAGACGACCCGCTGACTCCACTCATGCCTTCCAGCGCCTGCCATTTCTTCACCGCCTGCGGCAGCGTCATGTCGTAGTCGATTCCGTAGGCATCTTCCGGGTCTGCAGGCTCGGAGGGTTTCCAGAGCTCCGCTAGGGAAGATAGGATGTTGACAGCATGTCCCATGTCGGGCCGCTGATAGGGCTCCCGGGCTGAGCAATGGCCAGCTAGCTCTGCAACCGTGCTGATGCTGGCAAGAGTTTCTTCATCGACATCCATGTTCGGATCGATAGCTTTACGGAAAGTGTCCTTGTTGACAAGCACTCGCCTGAACCACGGCACAAGATGTTGGCTTTCTTCCGGAAGGGTTTCATCTAGAGCCTTCCGGCCAGTGATCGTCTCCATTAGGATTACCCCGAAGCTGAACACGTCGATTTTGGTACTCACTCGGCCCGTCACTATCCAATTACACAGATAAAGAAGTTACTTTTAAACGAACATTATCAGAGGTACGAAAATCATATCATATGAGCATCAAGTGCATAAAATAACTTATGAATCAAAGAAAACTTGCAGCAGACATTGTATTGAATCTCATCATATATATATATATATATATCAGCATATACGAAGAACAACAAAGCCTGAGAATCAAACTACCTGCATATTCGGGAGCAAGATATCCGAAAGTCCCGGCCAATCTGGTAGCAACTGAAACATCCCCATTAGGTGCGAGGCGAACCAAACCAAAATCTGCAACTTTAGCCCTCATATCATCTCCAAGAAGAATGTTCGACGGTTTAAGATCCCTATGGATGAAACTCTGCTGAGCTAAACTATGGAGGTACTCGACACCTCTGGCAACATCGAGCGCGATAGTCAGCCTTTTCGACCATGGAAGGGGCTTCAAATCTTCTTCCTTCCAGTTAAATAGAAACCTGCTAAGTGTCCCCTGAGGCATGTACTCGTACACTAGCAGCTTCTCGTTTCCGTCCAGGCAATATCCGAGAAGAGTGACCAAATGCCTGTGCCGAACTTTTGTAAGGACAGCAATTTCGGATTTGAACTCGGCCAACCCCTTCTCACTAATCACGCCGCATTCCATCCTCTTGACAGCAATTTGAGTCCCGTCGGGGAGCTCTCCCTTGTAAACAGTTCCAAAGCCGCCTCTTCCGAGTATGTTCTTTTCGCTGAAATTGTCGGTCACATCTCGCAGGACTTGGATGGATATCACCATGCTACCGGCCTCGACAATGTGAATGTCACTCGTTGCGCCACTTCCATGGCTGTATGTCTCGCTGGCACCACCGCCTCCATTGACACTCGAACCAGCAACTGTGATCTTGACAGCATTGTCGGAACCTGAGTCGCGAGGATGGATAACCATTGTGTGGGGAGACTGGACTTTTCCGGTACGTTTGTGCTTAGCTCGGTAAACGCATAAGGCTAACACCCCTGCGCCAACCAACACACAAACTCCCCCTACTACTGTGCCTACAACCACTCCAGACGACGTTTTCTTATCATGTCCTGAATCATCTCCTTTCGGATTCGACCCCGGCTGATTCCCCTTTCCACCTTGTGCAGTCGGAGGAGGAGCATCTTTCCCGATATTCAAATTTCCGCTAGTCTGCACCACCACATTATCCCTAAATGATGGAACTTTTCCATAAATGTTATTGTTTGACAAATCCAACAAGACAAGATTCGGCAATTGGGTCAGCTCATTTGGAATCGTTCCCGTCAAGTTATTACCGGACAGAACCAATCGTTGCAGCGAAGTGATTCTCGCGAAGCTCGGAGATACAGTTCCATCAAGTCCCATTCCATGGAAATTTATGACAGTGATATTCCCACTGTTGCAGGTAATCCCCTTCCATGAAGAACCACACGGATCATTCCCTTTCCAGCTTGAGGCAAACATGGCTGGATAGCCGAAATCATGAACCACTGCGAGCAAATCATTCACCCGTGGATCACATTCGGCTCCGGGAGTATTCGTGCAGAAACTGTTGCTGTTCGGCGCCAAGTCGACCTGAACTGATTTGCTGAACAGAGGATACTTCCCCTGCAACATATTGTTGCTTAGATTCACAGTCATGAGCGTTTTCAATCCTACCAAGGTTTCCGGCACCGGACCTGTAAGACTATTGTCTCTTAAACTGAAATTCTGCAGCTGTATTAAGCCGGACAAATCTGGTATAGGTCCGGTGAAGGAATTTCCGTGCAGCCAGACTTCAGATAACTGAGTCATGTTCTGTAATACAGTAATGGAGCCATTGAGTCTCGAACTGCTCTGCTGGCCGTTCAGCCACAAGGACTGTATCGAAGAGCCGGCGAACGTCGCCGGCAACGGACCTTCGAGATTGTTATACGATAAATACAGTTTAGTCAAACTGGCGAACTTTTCAGCGCTTAGGAATTCCGGTATGGGGCCGCGGAGATTAGTTCGGACGGCGGAAAACGTTTGCAATCCAGACGCACTTTGAAGCGACGCCGGAATTGTCCAGGGGGCAAAGGAATTGGAGTCGAGAAAAACAGCTTGAAGAGAGACCATACCGTCGAAGAAATCCGGCGGAATTGAGGCGAAATTGTTGTCGTTGAGGAGAAGGCTCTGCAGAGATTTCAAGCCGGAGAAGGTCGGGAGAGCGCCGGTGAGATTGTTGCGGAAGACTTCGAAGACTTGCAGTTCGGTGAGGGTGTTGATGCCCGGCGGGAGAGATCCTTCTAGATTCTGCTCGCCGATTTGGATCCGGGTCACCCGCCCGCCGTTGCACTGGATGTGCTTCCATTTGCAGGGGTCCGGGTCGGCCCACCCGAGCTGACTCGGATCCTTCAAGTTCTTCTTCAAATCCTGCATAACCGCCGCGTCGCCGGACTGGCAGTCTCCGGCGGCGGCCAACAGCGAGAAGACGGCGATGAACGCGAAAATCGATGCCATTAAACCTCAACTCTAGCCGAAACAACAGCAAGCGACTCCTCAATTCCTCGATTCCGGCACGGTTAGAGAAAATTCTAGAGTTTCTTCCCACAAAATCTCACGTTATGTACAGAAGCAAGCGTCGAGCAATTGAGGATGATAACAAACACATACAGAACAGAAATCTGAAAATCGGCGCCGGCAGCGAGGATTTTTCGCAGTTCCTTGTCTGTTGGGGAATGTTGAGATGGAAAATGAGGGTTTCTTGCGGGGATTGAGAGAGAGAAAGGGGAATTGAATCTGGAATGGAATGGGAAGGGTTTGTGAGGGCTTTTGGAGAGAGAAAGGAAGAAAGGAAGAGAGAGAAAGGAGTGTGTGTAGTTTATGTAGTACTGTGTGTTCTTTCTCACCACTAAAAGGTAGAGTGAGAATTGTGCGTGAGCTCACAGTTGGCACATGGCGCGTGGCGCCCACTTTCAGATTTAATTTATATATATATATATTTTATACAATTTTCATTATTATACTCTATTTTTTAAAAATATTTGTTCGGTTGTGTATAAGTGTATTTTTTTTTTTGTGATTTTGATTTTTTTTTAAAAAATAAATAAATAAGAACTTTAAATTAAATTTAAATTTTGAAAGCATTCTAGAATTAAATAATAAAAATATTAGAATGTTAAATAATATTCTATTTATCTTGAATAATATTTTTGGAAAAAAAATATATAGATATTAATGAATAGTTTTTATGACATATTCAATTAATAAGGCAGGCGTACACTATTGATAGGTTTACAACATATGACTGTTGCATAATTTGATGGTTTTCTTTGAAACTATAACCAAACAAAATAGTGTGATGTGTATTTTTTTTTTAATATTTATTTAATATGATATAAATAAATATTAATATAATATTTTGAATATAAAATAAATTTATAATATAATATAAAAAAATAATTATTTAATTTTATATTTTTTAAAAAAACTAAAAATTCAGTAATAAAAAAATATGTGGTAAATCAACAAAAGAATACAACTTATATATTCCACACAATAATTTTTTAATTTTCTCAAAAATATCCTATAAAATATTATTTTAATTAAATTTTCAAATAGAAAACACTAATGTCAATGTAAACCAAAAGTCTGTTCAATGTTGTATAAGAAACTGTTTTGTGTTGGTAACATAAAAAATAATATTTTGTATTAATTAATGAATGATATATATTATATTAATATGTATAAATTTGTATATTTTAAATAATATTTATGAAAAGCGTTCAATTGAAAATTTACATATAATTGATTTTTTTATACCAAATAGTATTACATTCACTTTCTATTTTACTTATAAAACATTCCATTTTTATTTTTTATTTTAAAGAAACACCCATAATATAGACATGCATTGAATTAACGCTATATTTAATATTGTATGAATAAATATTTGGTAAGAACAGTAATTGTGAAAATTATTATATAATTATAGCCTAATTGTGGCTGTAGCTTTATAATTTATTGTGTCTGTTATTGCCGTATTAATAGGTTTTTAATATTTATACCTATTTTTAAAATCATGGAAACAATATTATTGATTTTTTTTTTTTCTAAAAATATGTTATAAAAATAACATATTTCTATTAAAACAAAATGATTATTTGAAAAAATTATTAGATATATTAATTACAAATTATAGAACATAAAGAAGTAAAAATAATAGTAATAATAATATAATACTCTTTCCATCATATTTTAAATAATATTTTGTATTTAAAATAATAATATTTAATTAGTTAATAATAATAAATTATAATATTTTTTTATTTTATTTTATATAATTGGTATGGTTAGTAATTTAAGAAAATTAATATATATATATAATTAAAAGAAGTTTAGAAAATATATTTAAATATTTTAAAAATTATATCTCAATAAAATATATACAATATGAATATTACTTCATAGAGAATAAATTTTTATATAATAAAAATAAATAATATATATTTGTTATTGATTAACATAAATCAATTTTTATAAAAAAATTGAGAGAATAATTTTATCAAATTTTGTAAAGTATCGTTTGTTACTTGGCATACTAAAGCGAAAAATATGTATAATAGGTTATATGATGGAGGAGTATAACTTTTGTTTATTTTGGGATTTATTTACTTTTATTTTTACTACTTCCTCCGTCCCATTGAAAGGTTGTTATTTTTTATTTTTCGTTCGTCCCAAAATAAGATTATTATTTTGGGATTTATTTACTTTTATTTTTACTACTTCCTCCGTCCCATTGAAAGGTTGTTATTTTTTATTTTCGTTCGTCCCAAAATAAGATTATTATTTCATAATTTAATAATTGTACTATTTACCTAACATAATAAATACCCTTTCAACTTACAATATATTACACAAATATCGTTACTTTTATATTACATTATACTAACAGGGATATTTTTGTCTTTTTTACTACAATCAAATATAATACTAATATTAAAAAATTTACGTGCAAAAAGCAAACGTCACTCTTTCACGGGGACGAAGGGAGTACTATAAGTTTTATGGGTAACATTTTTTTTATTATTTATAATTTAGATGTACTTGAGAAAAAATAGTACTTCATCCATGTTAAAGATAATTGATTTTTTTCATTAGTGATACAATATTTAAGGAAATGGTATTTAATTAGTTAATAATAGTGATTATGATATTATTTTACTAATATAATGTATTTATGTTTGGTTAACATTTTAATTTTTGTCTTTTTGATAAAAATAATTATTGATTTTGATATTTTATTGCCATAACCACATCCATAACCCAAGTCAATTTACGGGATTTTTTAAATTTACTAGTTTTAATTTTATATATTTTTATTGAAAATAATATTATTAAGAGAAATCAAAATAAACATAAACATTTTAAATAGATTCTTATAGTAAAAAACCATTTTTTATTATTTATTTTGGTAAAAAGATAATTAAAATTGTAACATGGAAAGCATTTGATTTGTCTTCAAATGCAAAATACTTTTTCACTCTAATTAAATGTACTTTTTGTTTATATATAACTTTAATATTTTATTAGTTAATAAAAAAATATAAAATTATTTTATATTTTTATTTAATAAAACATAAATAAAATGAATAATATAATTAAAATTAAATGTATTTTGATATTTATAAATATAATTATTTTACTATAACTGAAAACAACCATATTTGAATGGACGGATAAAAATAGATATTGAATATATATGAAAAAAAAATATTATTCATCTCACGCATTTTATATTACTCCATCGGTCCACAGTCTTTCTATCCGATTGCTTTTTGCATATAGATTTTAGTATATTAATATTATATTATTATATGGTACAATTGATATAAAGACTATTATATCCTTTAAGATTTATGGTATTAAGTGTTATTTGATGACATTTGTGTAATATTATATAAAGGGTGAGATAATTTTATATTTTAGTGGAAGATACATTTACTTAAAAAAGAAACGGATACATTTGCGATAGATATGCTAAAATGGCAAAATAGATAAATTGGCGGTGAACGAATGAAGCATTATTTTTAAAAAAAATATATATCAAAATAATATTTAAGCAAAAATTTAAATAAAAATTAAACTTCAAATCAAAATAAAGATATAACTGCAAAATTCAAATTCAATTATAGGTTCTGGCCATTATTGTCTCTCAATGACTTAATTATTTCGTTATATATTGCAATATCCAAAGAGTCGTTATTATTTTAGTTGTGGTTGTTTATGAAAATTGAATGCAAACCATTAAATTCCACCAAATATATTTCTCACATATAATATTTATATTTTAATATTATATAAAATTCTTAATACTAATTATCAATATATTTCGCACATATAATATATAATTTATTTAAATTAAATACAATGCGATTTGTCCAATAATAAATTTCACATAATACATATGTGATATTTATATTTAGAAATACAATAAGAACATATTATATATGAAATACATTGCAGATAATTTATTATATAAATAACATCCATATTAAAAATGTGTATAATTTTTTTTTTGGGTTATGTTAATGTTGTTTGATTTTGCAGTTGATTTTAATTTTTTGTTTAAATAATTATTTGATATATGATATTTTATATAAAAATAAATATTTTTAGAAAAAAGAGGTGTATATTTAAAGAAAAAACAATAATTTATACAAATTTGAATTTTTTTTTTTTTTTAAATTATATTTGACAATTGAACAAGGCTTTTCGAAAAAAGAAATATAATATCAATAAAAATTTATACCTAAATGTGAATACTGGATAAATGGAAAGGAATCATTATTCATTAAAAAAGTCATTTTGGTAAGTGAAGTGATAGGTTTTTTTTTTTTTTTTTTTTTTTTCTTGGATAAAAAAGCTGTATCTAATTCACATAAATCAAAAAGCTGTATCAGATTCACACCAAATTTTAAAAAGGTATAGCATTTGTATGGTTGCCTTTACATTTTTTTTTTTAAAAATAAAAATAAAAAATAATTTATTTTATTCTTCTCCAAAAATATTATACTAGCAGATATCAATTATTCTATTTATATATTACATAATATATATGTATATTTATAATTTTTGTATTTACCTCTCTTTCGTTATTTAATGGTGGTTTAGGGTTTACGGTGGTTTCATAGTTATAAAGTTTTTAAATCTCTGTAGTTAAGATTTTTGTGCAAAATAATTATTGTTAACTAATAATAAAAGAAGATTAAATGCAAAATTTTTTAAAATATAAAAAAAAATGACACAATTTTTAAAAAATAGAGAACTCATGTAATTTTTATACACCATATATTTTATATTGTTTTGCCTAGAATTTTTTTACTATATTATTTATTACACTATTGTATAAATACATTGTTCTGTTTATATATAGGATTTTGAACTTTTGAAAATTTAGGAAGATTTAAAAATGAGAAAAAATTGAATATTTGATAAAATATTTTATTTAAATATAATGATTTAATGTGATTTCTTAAACAGATTATTATTAATGAATGATGATAAATTTTTAAAAATCAGAGCTAAGTTTTAAGTGATTTTATATGCTTCGAATTTAAATATATTATGAAAAATAATTTTGGACCCAATTGAGTAAGGGTTAAAACAAAGCCCATTTTAGAAGCCCAGTGATATCTAATAGGGCGCAGTTCAGTAAAAAACGGCCCAATTTCCGGAGCTATACGGCGTCGTTTCCCGGGTTAGGGAAGTGAAAAAGGCGTGACTTTTGCAGCCACGTGGCAGTTTGTTGTTCGTCGGTGAGTATCACAGCGTCACCATCAGTCACACCAACGTGTCTTCCTCCTACACAGTAACGTAATTCCCTCGGAGTCGAGCTCAAATAACTGCTATCCATGGCGTCGGAATCCCGCGTCCGGAAGCTGTCATTCGACATCCTGGCGTTCTCCGAGCACGATGATGGCGTCCTATCCGCCGCCGCGTCCGCCCGCTCCAGGTCCGATCCTCCTCCCGTTCTAGGAGGCGACGCATCGTCGCCTCGTAGGAAGAAGAAAAAGAGGAAGGAAAAAGGCAAAAACCTGCACGATTTGTCCTTGATTTGCGATAATGCAGTGCTCGAACGATCCGTGATCGTCAACAATGGCGTGAATCACAGCTGTGCAGCGGTTAAAGTGACGGAGACTGCGGTGGCGTCGGATAGTGATGGCAAGGACAACTGCGCTGTGCGTACAGTGCAGTATGGGGAGTTGAGGCAGCGGTACGTGGTTAATGCGATGAACGGAGCCATACCGGAAATGGCGAGTGAGGAGAGTGGTGATTGTAAGAAGGCTGAAATGTTGAAGGAAGATACGATAGCCGATCGGATTGCTGTTAAGGAGATCAGCGTGGATCAACAAGCGGAGCTGAGAGGAAAGCAATTGGAGGAACGCAAAGCAGACTGGAACAAATTGATGGCCGAAGATTCCCATTGTAAGTCGAACTTGAAATCATGCCTTTTGAAAATTCAATAGTTGCTTCAAGAATCTGGATTCAGTTTCACAGGTGATTTGATGAGCAGTGCAGTTCTTCTGAGATTTAGGAATGTCAATCGAACAAAGAAACCTAATTCCACCATTGAATGCTTCGGATTCAAAATCCTTTGTACTTCTTAACAAGTAGTGAAGATTTTGGTTAACTGAAAATTTGATTCTGTTGTTTACATTCATGCATCATAAAATAATGTTGATTAATAGCTCTCACTTTCCATCTTCTACTCTATGTTCTTTGGTCTCTTAGTTATAGTGACATGTTTCTCTATCAGATGTGTTACCTGCAGAGAAGTCCCCGATGAAATATTTTGTTGAAGAAATAAATGCAGGGAATTCCTTGAGAAGTACCACCACTGTCGGAAATGATAAGGAACGAGAACGAGTTTATGATACTATATTCCGCTTGCCATGGCGTTGTGAATTAGTAAGTTGCAACGTATATATTTACTCGAATAGATTTGTAAGCTATATTATAGTGATACTTTATATAAATTTCTTACTCAGAACCAAATTTTGTGCTTTTGAAAACAGAGGAGATTGTGTTTTGATGCTATTTGTCTTGCTAATTTAGAAGTGAATGCCGTCTTTGCTCTACTAAAATGAACTGCTTGATCTTTTTGCAGCTTATCAATTTTGGGTTTTTTGTATGCTTTGATTCCTTCCTGTCCCTCTTAACGATCATGCCAATTAGGATTATTATGAGCTTGTGGAGGCTTGTTAAAACCAGGTCAGTTCTGTTCCTCTATAACCACTTTATGAGTGAATTTTATATACTAGAGTGTGCTTACGTTTCAGTTTTCTACAAACATTATGTCACACTTTTCATTTTTGTGTGTTGGAATGTGGATAAAGGAGTTGCCACTCTTTTTCCGATCTTTGTTTTGATTATAAAATAACTCCTTGATTGAAGATTTTATTTATTATGAGCTTGCATAATAACTTGCAGATTGAAGCCAAGTCAGCAAGATAATATGTTTGTTGGGGTATTGTAGGAAAACATTTTTTTTTTTTATTATTTTCAATTTTTTTATTGAGAAAAAAATTTCCGTCATGTAATGATTGCTGGTCATTTGGATGTTGCTTTGTTACATGCCTTAGAAATTTAGGCAGTAACATTCCATACATAACGTCCATGCTGTCAGCAAAGTACCTTGTATTATCTGTATAGATACAAGGAACAGGGTTGTCAATTGTGGGCATCAAGTGTGATACGTAGCCTCTCGTGCTATATGTCCTGACTACATATGTTGGATGTGCAATTTGTGGTCATTATCTGGTTAATGAGTATAGCTTGGAATTGACAGTAGAAAATTCAAAGCAACTTGAACATAATAGTAGTTAAAATATCAGTGGATTTTTAATTCATTTTGCTGAATTTTTGTGTCCCTGGCAGAGGAAAACTAAAGTTGAGTTGTTACACAATTGCCTTCCACATATACTCAATAATTTCCATAGTATCCTCCATGCTAGAGTAATTTAACCATCTTGTGGCAGGCAGTTCAAGAGGCCCTCATCAGCAGAATTATCGGATTTTGGTTGTCTAGTCATTATGCTTAGCGGAGTCACCCTATTACAACAAGCAGGTTCATTATAAATTTTGGTTCACATTATCTGAAAATCTTTCCAAATCTTCAGATTTAAGTATGCTGTTATTTGCCTTATCAGTCAACAACCTCTTTAATCCACTTCTAATTCTCCTAATATATTGCATCTTGATCGATTATTTTTCTTGTTCAGATATCAGCTTAATTTATCATATGATTCGTGGCCAGGGGATTGTTAAACTTTATGTGGTCTACAATGTTTTGGAGGTATGGAGAAACAATAATCTAATGAGGGAGAACGATTTTAAATTTTTTTAATGTTTTGAGTTCTTAGCTTGATTTATGCTGCAGGGACCTTGATTTATGGTACATACTACATATTTTACCCTATTTTTTCCTTTTTGATATCGTATTGTTGTGCTTATAATGAAATGCAAATAATACTGCATAATGAAAAGCAAGCATGGAATAGTTTAAGAACTTCTGGTTAATAATCGAATCCAGAAAATATGGTAATATTGTCTATTTATATCTTAACATTTGTACATTTCCTGCATTCTGTAGCTTAACTTCTGGGCAATTATTAAAGGAATATGGTTCTTATATTGAAATCAGTTTTAAAACTGCATCAAATTTGATAGGAAGTAAAGCTGAAGTCTGGCCAAAATAATTCCGTATCACTTAAGCTCATGATTCTATAAAACAGAGGAAACAGATCACATAGATCCTTCCATTTCTGTATAAGAATCATGTTTCTTAAACAATTGTTTGACAGTGTTGGTTGCTACTAGTTACACTCACAATCGCACTGCAGATATTTCTGTTGCTACTACTGTCTATGTATTTTATGCCTCCCTTCACATGGTGAATTTTACATTACTTGATTCATGGTCTCGGTTCTGGCATTTAATTTTGTGTCTACTTTCTTGCACCTACCATGAAAGGAAGATCATAAATCATTGTTTCTCTCTTTGCATGACAGATATTTGATAAGTTATGCCAAAGTTTTGGTGGTGATGTGATGCAAACTTTATTCAATTCAGCAGATGGACTTGCAAACTGTTCTTCTGAAAACTTGGAGTTTTGGTTGTGGAGATTTCTTTCAGATGAAGCCTTAGCAGTTTCTTCTTCTAATATCCTTCTGAAACTCTATATTCAGTATTTAGTAATCGTAACATGCTTGTGTTTGTGTGTGTGTATTTGGTGATGCATGACATTTACTACTTGAATAATTTGTTCACAAATCTTTGCCGAGTGTTTGTCCTTAACAACTCGAACTTATTCATTCATTCATTCTATTAGTGCAGGCAATTACTTTGTCGACATGTATAGTTTCTCATAACAATGCACTCTTCGCAATGCTTGTGTCAAACAATTTTGCTGAGATCAAAAGCAATGTATTTAAACGATATAGCAAGGAGAACATCCACAGCCTGGTATACTTTGGTGAGTAAACTTCTTTAATTCTTCTGAAATTGCTTAATATCGTAGCTAATTCATTTTGTCGCATACGAAAATTATCAACAAGCTGTTATTTTTTACTGCATCATTTGTCTTGTTCAAAAGTGTTTTCTGCCATTTCTTCTCATGATCCTTTGGGAGATATAAGTATCATGCCTTTGTTGTTTTAACTGATCTTGACCAGATTCAGTCGAGCGATTCCATATTTCTGCATTCGTATTGTTCGTTTTAGCACAAAATATCCTGGAAGCTGAGGGCCCTTGGTTTGAAAGCTTTCTTTCTGTAAGTGATCATATTCGCACCCCCGTACATTTTCAGATCGAGCAACTAGTAAACAAATGGACTTTTAGTACAATCAGGATCGCCATTTTCTCTCTTGTCTTGGTCGCAGAACGTTTTGGTTGTATACATATGCGAGGTGATGATAGATGTAATAAAACACTCGTTCGTCGCCAAGTTCAACGGCATAAAGCCCCTTGCCTTCTCAGAATTTCTGGAAGATCTTTGCAAGCAGGTAATGTCTTTTGCTCACTCGCTCGCAAACTCTAGTTCGTTCATCTTTCCAGCATTCGACCATTTCCATCCTTGCTCGATCATTTCACTCTATTGATGTGTATATATATATATATATATATATATATTTATGATGCTAACATAGCGATTGGGTTCTTGTCCAGACACTAAATATGCAAACGGAAAATGGGAAGAAGAACCTCACTTTCATCCCTTTGGCACCGGCGTGCGTGGTAATAATAATAGTACACCAAATTCTCCCTTTCACCCCAGAATATCTAAATATTTTGATCTAGTGAGAGTTATTTATTTATTTTTTTTCGTATATTTTTTTTGTTCATGTGGTGGTTAGGTAATTCGAGTTCTGAGGCCAGTTTACACGGCGTATTTGCCGTGTACTCCACCTCATCCATGGAGAGGCTTTTGGATGGTGGCATTGTTCGCGATCAGCTTCGTGATGTTGGCTAGCCTTAAAATGATGATCGGGATGGGACTTAGAAAACATGCTCGATGGTACGTCAAAAGGTGCGAGAGAAGGAAGCTTCACACCGATTAAGGATATATAGCGGCAGCTTATTACCACGCGACGACGACAACACAAGGTGATTCTGTCCTTATGGGGCTCGGCTCGATTTTAAATGAGGCAGGTATTCGATATCTACTTGTACTTTAAAATTGAGTGAGTGATTGATGAATGATACAAAAGGACTATTAGTGTAGTCTTTTGCTATGCTAATATATATAATATGTGTTGTCTTTCGGTTATATTGAAATTTGAAAGGTTAGTAAAATCTTTATAATCTTAGTTAAGGTGGTGATTAGGATTAATTTTAATCAATATAATCATAATTTACATAACACATGTCACAGTTGATCTTAGCAGAGAATATACATGTTAACTAATGCATAAATAATATACATTCACATTATGAAATATTTTCTTAGTTATTCAAATTTATTCTCACTTTTTTAAAAAGTATTATTTAAATTTATTTCTGATTAATTTTTTTTTTCTATAAAAAATTATTTATATTTTTATCGATTTTTTTTTTAAATTTGTGCCCGATCAAATGGACATAAATTTACGTGGCAGAGGTGGAATACTTTATACGTTAAGTGTTAGCACAAAGAATATATTATCAATATAAATATTATTATATGATCTCACAATGTAAGATAATAATAGTTGCTCATTTAATTATTAGGGTAAATAAAAATATATGTATATACATGTTTTGATATTATTCTTCAATGATATATATATTGTGATGACGTGAGAATTAGCAGCCGCTACCCGAAAGTGCACATTGGGTAAACATTTGGCCGAAGCTAACATTCTGTAAACTAAGCCTGATAGGAAAGTCAATGCTAACACTCTAGGCCCGACAGAAAAGTCACACTAGCTAACCATAGGTGGCATATACGAGTGTATACTTTCATAAAATATCACATCTATACATACATCTTTTTGCTATTATAAAAAGGTTCAAAACTAAGAAAACTTTCACAACTTTTATTTAAATAAAGTTACTAGTGATACCCAACAAACAAATACATGTAGCTACAAGAATAAAAATGTATATATATATATATACTTTTATAAATTATTACATATAGGCTACTATAATTTAGACAAAAAAATTAAAAAAAAATTAAAAGTAAACTCTAAAATTAAAATAATTTTTACTCTAAAACATTATATTTAATATTTTTTTTAATAAAATAGCATATTTAAATAAAGGTTTAATAATAATAATAATAATAAAAAGACACGTATACAAAGTAACGAGGGAAGATGTATAGGGTAGGAATAGTATATTAGGATTTTAATAGTAGTGAAGAAATGTTTGACTGCTTCAGGTAAAAACATTCACATTGACATTCACATGCTTGTTAAAATGAGAGGGGAAAAAGTGAATTTATTTATGGCCAAACATTTCAAAATAGGGGAATCATCCCATATATACCTCTCTTATTTAAATTTAATTAATAATACTATCAGCAAAACATAGAAATAAATAAATCAAGTGTGTCCGTAAGGAACGGCCTGATAGTGTGACCCCTGACGCTTCAAGTCATCTGCCACATATTATTTGTCTAGTAACTTGTCTGCGTCATAGCATTTTATTTTTTAATAATTGAAGTAAAGTATCTGAAAGTTGTAGTAAATTATACATATATTGAATTCTTACCAATTATTTATTTATTTAATTAAAAAAAAAAAAAAAAAAAAAAAAAAAAAAAAAAAAAAAACATGCATCATGTGTTTCTCACCTCATGGTGTCTGGTCTGCCATTAAACCCTCTCCATGTGATTGTGATTCCATTATTAATCACATTACTTTATCATATAATAATCATAATAATAATATTAATAAATTTAATCAAGGTGAGTAAATATGGACAAAATGAGACGCCAGCGGAGACATCACCCGCCCGACAAAGATCCTTATTTCTGACATCTCAACCAAACACCAAACTTATACTCTATAGTATACTATACTATACTATACTATAATGCACGGAAAATTACTAATTATTATATATATATATTTTCTCTTTTATAATAAGTTATTCATAAATATATTTATTGTTGTTTGGTTGTAATTTCATTTTGAAATTATTAATATTCTTTCTGCATCTTTATCATAAAATAATATATTATTTTATTTTAAAAAATATTATTTAAACAAAAATTCAAATAAATATTATATTTTAATCGCACAATCAAATGAACCAGTGTTTATTGTCATCATTTTAATGGTTTTATACTTATGTTTGCATGAAACTTGCAATATCCATATAGTTAGGATCTGCTTCGTTTATCTATGAATTTAAATTTAAATTTAAATTTAAATAATATTTAGAAAAAATAATAGTATATTATTATTAAAAATATGTTGGATGAATAGTTGAAAAGTTAATTTAAAACACAAAACATAATTGTCATATATATTATTAAAAATCACACTCAACTACAAGGTAATTAAAATAATAATACAGCTATTATTTTCATATATAACACACTTAAAAATCACAATAACAAGTCATCAAAATTATATATATATTTTTTCTATTTAAAATATATTAGACGCCTATTTTAAGATAGTATTATATAATAATTATATTATAGTCCAACCAATATATTTATATTTTATATATTTTTAGATAAAAAAACATTTGTTTGTGATATTTTAAATAAAAAGAAATAAAATTTCATTACAATTATTTTAAAGTAAAAACCATAAAAAAGAGTGTAATTTATTCAAATGACCACACCTTATATGTTGAATGTGATACTTTTCGAAGGCAAATGAAAGCATATTTATCAATGAAATAACAATAAATATTATATATATATAAAAAAAATATTTGCCATCATTATTTTGAAGTAAAAACCCTAAAAATGAGAATAAATTGCTTATATGCATGAACACACTCAATATATTGAATTCTTACAAAAAATATCATATCAAATATATATTTTTCATACAAAGCATTATATAAAATATTAATTTTTTACTATTTTCACATTTTCAAAACTCCAGAAAGTCTATTGAGTCTAAATGTGACATTTTTAAAAAACAAATGAAAGCATATTATTAGATTAAATAATACAAACCTAATTAAAAAGAAAAGATCAACTAAACACAACTTTATATCGATTAAAAAACATAAATCAAATCCCAACCATAGACATACACAACTTAAACAATTAGCTTCATGTGAACTATATATTCCAAAACATGTAATTCCCACCACTCCCAAATGTTTCATAAAAGACAAAATCAAAATGCAAACAATTATGATTTTTCTGTATTATATATATATATCGAAGCTAGTCAGAAAAATAATAATAATGAGCAATAATTAGGTCATGGATCGATGCTATTTCAATAATATCCAAAAGTATTAAAAAGTTTTTAATTCACGACATAATTAACTATCATATAATAGCGAAGAACCAATAAATAAAATGGTGTTCTTTTTTTTCCGGATATTACCAAAAGGGCGACCTCCTCGGGATACCCTTTCGCTTGCGCAGTGTCTTCCTCGGCTTTAGATTTGAATTTGACAATGCTTGAATTACTTCTGACGACGATGAGTTTGTCGGAGATAGTAATGGCGAGCCACACCCATTCTCGTTGAAATTTTGTTTTGAATCCACGCTTGGAAGATCGATGACTTTTTTAGCCGGTGGCAGAGAAAGGATCTTACTGCGGGTTGTAATATCAGATTCCATCCAAACCTTAAAAGAAAAAAAAAAATCATAGAATAAAACATATGTATATATTAAAACAAAACTTTATGATTTGAAAAGAACATAGGAAAAAAATTATTTTATGTTATAAGTATTAGTTTTTACCTATAACTAATATGTCTTTCAATCAAACTTTATATGAAAAGAGTTGCTTTTTAATTCAGAGAATTAGAATCTATTTAAAGGATCAAATGATGTCATTTCTAGGATATAATATAAATTATTTTATGCTAAATTCCTAAATTCTTTATTAAAGAGAAAAGTTCAATAAATAATTTTCATTCCAATTTTGACATTCAAAAAATGTAAAACACTAATATTCTATATAAAAACATGCCAATGGGTTAAATAGACATGAATTTATTTTTAAAAAAAATTGGAATGCAATTTTACTCTTTTATTCCATCAACTATTTTAACTTACTAAATATTCTAAATAAAAACATGCTAACGGTAAGATCCATTTAACATCTAAAAAATCACGTTATACAATTTTACTCACTTACTATTCTATATATCATTTTAACCAATTCGCAAAACATTCTATTTAAAACCACGTGGAGGGTAGAATAGGAAAACCAAATTTTTATAATTCGAATGCAAGTTTCCTTTCTTGCGCTCTCACCGAACATTTTTACTTACTAAATATTCTAAATATTCCATATGAAAGGTACAATATATATATTAATATATAAATTATATTGTTTTAAAAACTTAGTACTCTTTTACAATTCTATAGATATTTTAAATTATTTTGTAAAATATTCTAAATAAAAACATGTAAATGGAAAAATATACGATTAACCTTTTGTAATTTGAATGCAATTTTACTCTCTTAAGCTTTTAGAAATCATTTTACTTACTAAACATTCTAAATAAAAAGATGTGAACATAAAATAAGTAAATAAATTTTATAATTCAAATGCAATTTTACTCCTTTACCCTTTTGCCGATTATTCTCACTTACTAAATATTCTAAATAAAAATATGTGAAAATAAAACCGATAAAAAAGTAATAGTAATAATAAAAAAATTCAAATTATACTACCTAAAAAATCATGTAATAGCCAAAAGTAACAAAAATTTTAAAGAAAGTAAGTACAATGTAAGCGTAAGCATAATTATACCTTGCAAGCGATGGAACAGAAACGATTCGGGAATTCTTGGATATGTCGCCCACAAGTTTTGCATGAAGCGCCGCCGCCGGCGATCTTCGGCTTTGAACCTTTTGCATCTTTCCCCGGAGGCCTTGGATTCAAATGAACAGCTTTCTCCCCATTGATTTTGTATGCCTTAAAATTTGCATAACATTTTAATTTTAAAGAAATTAAATTGCATTTTTTGAAAACCTAAATTTGGTCTATTTTCCAATGTTATTCATGTTCAATTTTATTTGGGAAAAGTTTTTTTACTTTTAGATGATAAAGCAATAATGGACTAAAGGATGAAAGCCAAAATCAATGGGAAAAAAATACAATAAATAAATTCCTAAATTGCATTTCTTCAATTCAAGCTTCATTTTTCAAAACTGTGATTCATTTTTCAACGTGAATTGAGAAATAAAATTAAAAAATAATATGCAAAAGCAAGAGCCATAAAAGATGGAGAAATCCATGGAACTTATCAAAAGGAGAAATAAATTGGAGTCCATAAAATATTCCAAAATTGATTGTCAATGAAGATTCAAAAAGCAATTGCCAAATCAGATGTTGATAGCAAAAATTGACCAAATTAATCGATACTACGAACAAATTTCCAGAAACATAATTTCAGAAATTGAAAACACATATAAACAGAGGAAGAAGCACAAAGGAAATGCGAAACTAACCTGAATCTGAGAACAATCGAGAAACTTCTGGATATCGTGCAGACGAACAACATCATGATAGACGTATTTGCAGATTTGCAGCAAACGATGAGACGAACAAGCGACGCAATGCTTACAGACGCGAAATTTGCAATCGATACAGAACAAATTCTTCTCGCTCTTCCTCAATTCGCTGTGTTCTTTGCAGGAATCGAAGAATTTGCTCCGAAGCATATCGCTCACCCACGCCGCCGACTGAATTTTGCTTCCGACCTACACAAAAAACGAATCAACAGTAAAATTCAAATCAATTTCAGAACCAATCGAACCAAAAGCAACTTGCAGACGAAGAAACATCGATGAAAATTAAGCTGAACTCCAGCAGAAATGCGAATTCAATTGGATCTCAGACATTTACCATTTTTTCCCCAGCAATTCGACAATTCACGAATCGAAATTTGAATAGTAACAGCGCTCTCAGATTGGATTTTTAAAGAGGTTAGAAAATCAAAGAGGAGGACGAATTCGAAGGAAAGAGAAATGAATGCATGGAGGATATAATGAGGTAAGTCCAAAAGGCTCTAAGCGCAGACAGACAGGAATAAGATTTATTGGTTTCAATTATTATTAATATTAATATTATATTATTATTATTTTTAAATTCTATATATATTTTTTTTAAAAAAAAGTGAAATGCAAAAAAGGCAGGAAAACAATTTATTAGTAGTATTATTTATTACCAGCTTATCTCCTTTTATTAATTTTCTAAAATGTAATGGAATTTTTTATTTTTATTTTATTTTTAACCTAATCCCTACAGTATAATTATAATTATTGTTGTTACAGTTTAAATATTATTTGGTACCAAATTTATGGTTGGGATAATTCAAGCATCATTTTTTTGGGGGTTTTATGTTTTATATTTTTTTGTTTTGGTATTTCCTAAAGTGAAAAAGAATTGCTATATACGATATTGTACGGGAAAATTTATCGGTGTATTCAATGCTTTTTAGGAAAAATTAAAGTTTTTTTTTTTTTTTTTTTTTTTTTTTTTTTCATCGGGTTAATTATGCAATACTTGAATATAAAGATTAAAAATAATATTCTCTCTGTATATCTGTAAATTTTTCATTTGATTATTACATACAGATTTAGGTAAATTAATATTTTATAATTATATACTTATTTTGATATTTAGTTGAAAGTTATTATTTTTTTTTTTTTTAAAAAGAAATTTTGATTTGGACATATTGAAATGACAATTAAAAACTTTACTATGAGACAAAGGAAGTAATATTTTGATATAAAAGTAAGATAAAAATTAAGTTGGAATGTTATATGAAATTTATTAAAGTGTTAATAATAAAATAGTTGGGTAAATAAAAAAATAGTGGCGAATTGATTATTATTTATTAAAATAAATGTAATGAGATTGTGAATGAATAAATGGTTTGTTTACTTTGTGTCTTTGAACGAATGTATTTTTATATTAGATATAAAGAATTGTGTTTATAATATTTTTTTTGTTGAATTAATTGTGTTAATGTGTGTATATTATATTTTTAAATAATATTTATAAAAAAAATGTACTACCAAAAATATAGCATAAATTTAGCGGACAATAAGAAAAATATGATATAATTATCTCGGACATAGGGAGTACAAAATTATAGAAAAAAAAGGTATTAAATTATAAATAGTACAATATTCAACGTATAAATTAAATTTGTTTTGTTAAACAAAAATACAATTACATAAATATGAACTAATAATTTTACCTATGTATATATATATATATATACCTCCCCTCTTCAATTGTCTTTGTTGAGCTTGTTAGATTTAAAGGCTAGAAAATTCTCTAAAAGTAAAAGAGTTGTATATGTTTATTATCTTTCAAATAAAATTCTATACATAATGTATCATTATTATTATTTTTTATAACATCTAAATACTATTTAAACAAAATTTTATATCAATATTATATTTTAAATTAATTTTAAATTATAACCAAACAAACATGTTTTCTAATTTTTTATTTTTGTTTTTATTATTTTTTTTTAAAACCTCCATGGTTCTGTTAGTTTGTATACTAAAAAACTTTTGCTTTGTTATCCCTTAATTTTTTTATTTTTATTTTTTTGACAATTTCAATGATAATAACATTGGTTAATATTTGAATTCTATGTTTGTTATATTAATGTGATTGTCTATTCGCTTTGTATTGTAAATAATATGGATTGTGGTATGTGGTGCCATACATAAGATCGTTAAAATAATATGGATTGTGGTATGTGGTGCCATACATAAGATCGTTAAAATGATTATAGTGTAACTTAGTACTCCCTCCTCCGTCCTAAATAAGTGCAACATTTACTTTTGGCACGGTTTTTTAGGTGGGTAGTATTAAGTAAAATAATTTAGAAATTAGGTGATGTGATGGAAAGAAAAATATATATTTTATCTTTTTATTTGGATGATGTGAGGGGATAAAGTGTGGGGTAGAGATTAAATATAATTAATCATTTTCTATTTTAGAAATGTTGCAGGGTGTTTGAGACATACAAAAAAGAAATATTGTAGGGTGTTTGAGACAGAGGGAATATTAATCTATTTTGGTGCTTGTATGTATTGAGTATAACCATTTGTGAATGTTCGATTTATGTTGTCTATATCAAAGAATAAGACCTCACTTGATAAGGATATTCGCCTTCTTAGTTCTAAGATAATAATAGGCACTTATATTCAATATGTATATATATATATATATATATAATATTGAAATCTGCAATCGTTACTTTTTTAGTGCACATTATATAAACCTCTGACTGAATATAATAACATGCAATGTGGCGATTGAAAGATAGTCTTTGCTATATGATGTGCTATAGAGTATTGAATCCGTGTACTAATTTTGAATTATGTTCCTCTGAAAAGCTCGTAAGGATTATCATGCAAATCAAAATAAAATATTAATTAAATTATCTAGTAACTTAATTAATCACCTAAAATACGAAATTCATATTAAGAAGAAATACTATTTATGAATTTAGGCAATTTGGGTCGAACATGATAAGCCTATACCCATTCGGAATCCAACCATAATAATTCATTTTGATCCATATTGTAACTTATTAAAAGGTTTTTTGGTGACCTATCATAGAAAATACACATAAAATCTCAATCTAGATGTCATGAGGTTTAGAAGATTAGAAAGAAGCATACGTTCGAACAAGTTAGTCGGATCGCTTGGAGGATCATTACCAATATGACATCCAGGTTGAGGAGGCGAATGCATGCAATAAAAGATCGAGAGGTTATGGGTCAGATCTGATCCGAATTACTAATTTCTTCATCGTTTTTCAATCACATAAAGATCTACCATCACTATTTTTTTTTTATATTATTTAATTGAAAAATATTTTTACTTTTTTTTTTCTAGTTACACTCAACATACTTTTGAACTTTTTTTTAATAAAAGTTAAAAAAAAAAAATAAATATATTTTTTTAAAAAGTAAAAGAATAATATTCCAATAATGCACTTGAAACAAGTGATTATGCCAAATAGGAGATATTCTATTTGCTAATGGTTTTTTTTTTTAAAATTCTATCGTGTTTCATATTTATTGATATCCTCACTGTACCAGATATTTAAAAACCATACTTAAAAAATACTTCTTTATATATATATATATACTAAAAAATTAAGAAATATTAACATTTTTTTATTAATTAGTATAAATATGTAAGATTACTTTAATATTTTTATATTTCAAGCATAAAAGATACTACTCTCTCCGGTCCATTTCAAAGGAAGTTTATGGAGTTTTTCAATAGATTAAGAAATAATAGTATTTTATTTATTATTAAAAGTGGGTAAGAAGTTATATGATATTTTTTTCTTTTTGACTTTTATGAATAAAGTAATTGTATGTCTAATAGTATATTTGTATTTAAAATTAAAATTATTTTAATATTAACGTATGATTATTTTTACTAAAAAATAAAAATAATATTTTTAAATGGAAAATACAAAAATAATAAATTGTGATTTGAATTGTGACGAAGTTAATACTATTTATATATAAATGATTTTTTTATCATAATATAAAAATGTACTTTTGAATGACAAATAAAAATAATATATAAAATCTATTGATTTGAAATGAATGAAAATGTCGGATGTGTTGATTTGGTAAAATAGTTTGAATTTTTTTTAAAAAAAAATAAAATATAAAAAATTATATAGAAAATATAAAAATAATTGTGTAATATATTAATTTTGAAAAAAATGCAAAGAAAAATACCGAAATAACGCATCCATTGTAAATATATTATACGCAACGATATCAATATACTAAAAAAATTTGATAAATTTGATGTATTTCAATAATATATTAATATGCAGCCATGCCAATATTTATTTTCTTTCTTTTTTTTTCACAATTTTTATTTATTATTTATCAAATTGAATGAGGTTGCTAAAATATTAATAAAAAAATATTAGCTAAAAATATTCAACGTATTATTATTATTATTATTCTCGTATATTCTGACCAGACTATTCATTTTTTATTTTATTTTATTTTAATTTATAATTTGTACTATTATTATTTTCCTAATAATTTCTGCAAGTTGTTGCCGCCTTCAACGAAAATCACATTCCACAGCCCCTTTGGCTGTGATCCTCCCTCTCTCCTATCCATCGAATCCTTCGCCTCGTCTTGCCTTCTTCTGCAAGCAAACTCCATTCTCCAATTCCGTAATCTTAAATTGATTTTTTACGCGATTTTTAAGCTTTACGCGCGATTATTTCTGCGGAATTTCTATTCAATTGTTTTTTGAATTTGGTGCGACGGTTGAATTTGGGGAATTAGGGTTTCCGAATTGGTTGCGATTGTTGCAGTTTTCGATTATGGTGAAATCGTTCGAGGATGGAACATCTCTGCCGCCGTTCCTGGTTAAATGCTACGAGATGGTGAGCGATGAGTCCACGAACGATTTGATTTCGTGGACTGAGTCGAACGACAGCTTTATCATTTGGGATGAATCGAGTTTTTCATCCCGATTGCTCCCCAAGTACTTCAAGCACAGCAATTTCTCCAGCTTTGTTCGGCAACTTAACATCTATGTAAGATTCTTGTTTTGAGGATTTTGAATTGCTTGTTCTTGTTATTCTGATTCATATGCTCTTCTCAAATGGCATTTTCCCCAAACTTTGGTTTATAGTTGTAGATGTTTTGATGCTCTTCTGCTCGTTTACATATGAATGAATTTTGATCGTGGAGATGTATTAATGGAGGAATAGATATAGGAATTTAGATGCTTAGCTGTAGAAAATGGAAGGTGTTGCACAGAACATTTTCAATTTGTGGTTTTTGTTTGTTCTGTAATAATTTGATTGTAGATAGTATAACTAGGGTGTGTTTGTGTTTGTTTTTAATTCGACGTTTTGTGAGAGAAATAGTTTATTTTTATAGATATTCCTATGCATTCTATAGTAAAAAAACTGAAAAAAAATATCTAAAAGAGAACATAGTCTAAGAGTGTTTTTGTTTAGCATTTGCAGTTTTAAATATTTTTAGTCGATAAGGATACGGAATAGGGAGTTTTGTGTGTTTTTGTTGACTTCTATTGTTACGTGAATATATTCATACTGTTCACTAAACGTTTTTAATGGTAATATAAAAAATAATATTGTGTATTGAATGATTGATTTTTTATGAATGGATGAGATACATATTATATTAATATGTTTGCATCTTTGTATTTTTAAATAATATTTATGAGGAATTGTTCTATTGAGAAATGCTGAACGAACGACTAAATGCATTTTTGAGATAGTGTTTTCAAAGAATCAAGAAGGAACAAAACATTATACAATGGCATCTTGAATTTGACCAATGAAAATGTTGAATTTAATGGCAATTCTCAAACAAGAGTAATCATCAACTGTGTTTCGATCTAGGGTTTCAGGAAAGTTGATACAGACCGATGGCAATTCGCAAACGAGTCGTTCATCAAAGGCCAGAAGCATTTGCTAAAGAACATCAGTCGAAGAAAACAGCCGCAGAGTGTCGTGCAGAAAAGGGCTCCCCAACCAAAAGAGGATCCTCCTCCGGCACCCAAAGAAGAAAAACAAATAGATCTCTGGAAAGAAGTCGAGAATCTGAAAACTGACAAAAATGCACTGATGCAAGAGCTGAAGAAGCTGAGGCAGCACCAACAAACGTCCGAAACTAAATTACGTGTCCTGAGAGAACAGCTCAAAGGCATGGAGAAGCACCAGCAGCAGATGCTTTCTTTCATCGTGATGGCGATGCAGAGGCCCGAATTCATGGTCCAGTTCTTCCAACCGAAAGAGACCAATTGGCGCGTCACGGAGAACGGGAATACCAAATTAAGCGAAGTTACCGACGACGCCGACGAGCTGAATCCATCTGACAGGACAATTGTCAGGTATCAGCCGCCTCCGACGACTAATGCCCTGGTGCCGGAACTTGCTACAGAAGTTTCTAAATCTGAAGACTTGATGGAACTGGAATTTTCTTCGGAAGAATTACGGGATCTGTTTATGGATATGGATCTTTTGTTTGGGCCGATGGACGAGAAACGGCTGCCTTTGGAAAATACACAGCTTGTTCTCCCGGACTTGCCGGAAAATGATCAGATTTTGGAGCAGCTTCTTTTGTCCGATCCGGAGATGGATGAAATGGATGGACAGTTTGTTGATGAGGACGACGGTGAATGCCAAAACGAGGCGAGAGAAGGTACAGACAATTTAACTACGACCTACAATTCTGAGAATGTTGAGGTTTTAACGAAACAAATGGGATATCTGACTTCGGAAGTAGGGTTGTGAAGTAGTGATAGTTTGAACTCGATATTTTAAGATACATACATGTGTTTATCAAGCAACAATTTTGACATTCGGGCTTATATAAGATAAGATGTATCATTATTTTTTTGCCCAACCTTGGTGGTTGTTTTGAGGATCAAAGATTAGGTGTTACATAGATTTGTTTATATATGTGTATACATACATATATATATATATAAGAATGTAGACGGACAATATAATTAAAATTATATGCCGATAGTTCATACTTTGTACGAATATATCTGAATGAATATATATTTTGCAATTGTGTTGTTGGGAGTTTGCGATAGTGTTGTTGAGAGATTTTGCCTCAATTTTACTATTTACTGTATATGTTTCTTTCTTTTCGAACTGTTTTTTTTTTCTTTCTTTTTAAAAAATACACATTTTTTTAGTTTTTTTCTTTTTATAAATTATTTTAATATCAAATCAAAATTTTTTTTCCCTAAAATTTTTTATTCAAAATATTAAATCAAATATTTTACAAGACATCGTATCAATATTTATTCATATTATATTAAACAATTATTTAAATTCAAATTTTTTACTAGTCCGATTCAAGAGATGTCGAAAACTAGAAACAGAGCACAGGTAAAAGAGTGCAGAAAGAAACACAACAAGAATGGATGGAATGAAATCAGGGGCGTACAAGCTTGGCCATGGCGAAGGCTGCGGCGGAAGCAATGGCGCCGATTAAAGCAGTCTGAAGAGCGCTGAGAAAAGGTTTGTTCCCGGTGAAGTGGCCTTTGGCGTAGCCAAATATGAGTAATGCCAGAAGAGTTATGAAAACCGAGATAACAACAGCCTCTGTAGCTTTGGAAATGAAGAAGTATGGGAGAAGTGGCACTAACCCGCCCACAATGTATGCTACAGCAATGGTGACTGCACTGTGTACTGCTCTTTTAGGATCTGGCTTCTCCAGTCCAAGTTCAAACCTGCACTTTGTTTCAACAAATCAAAACAAAATTATTATTTAAATTTTAGTTTTTCTATGAATAATTGATTATTGGGGTGGGCATGTACATTTATTAATCAAAATAATATAATTTCACCAATCACTCTAACTACTAATTATATGGGGGCAGGGCAGATAAGTGTATTGAATCCATTTTCTAGCATATATCAATTTTAGGTTATGTTTGTGTTTATTTGAGAGGTTTAGATTTGTGTTTAGAGGTTTGGTTTGAGTTTTTTATTTTGTTATATATATATATAATTTTTTTTTTATTTTCTATTATAATAAAAATAATCATTATAATACAAATATATTTTTTAATTTTTACATAAATTATAAATTTATTATTAACATACAATTAATTTATATATAAAATATAAAAAAATCAAAATTATCTTAAATACTTTCACAAATTAATAAAATATTAATAGAATTATTTTTTAATATATAATAAAAAAAAATAAAAAAACTCGTTTGCATAAGTAGGAGAAAATATTAAATTCAAAACAGCATCATGTTCAGCAGTCTGCAAATTTTATATTATTAGTTATTGTGTGTTGACGGAGAACACCACATATGAATGGAACTCGACATATTTGGCAGGAAATCCAAGGGAATTTGGGGAAAATGGATAAACGAGAGCCAGCGGCAAAAGCAGAGTTACTTACTTCATCATAAAATCCAACCAAGCTTTCGGATTCTTCCTCAGAGCATTCACTACTGGTGCATATTCATGAGGCTGAATGCCATATTCAGATAGTATTTCTGCTACCTCAGCAGCCTCTGCAACCAGATCCAGACGACAAACAACAAACAGTGTCGGTTAAATTTGAGATCTCTGACTAAGATATGCATAGTATGGAGGATTAATTGATTGAAAAGAACAAGTGTGGAAGACAAAGCAGGTTATTTGGAGAATCGCAATCTGTTGTTACCTGTATCAGGCACGGCTATGATCTCCTCCTGTTCTCTTTTCAGCTCTCTCGTATAATGATCTGCTTCACTTTTAGCAGCCAGATAACTGCTCGCAATTTATATACATACACAAACATGTTAGACTTAGACGAATCGAGCATTAACAAATAACAACGAACAATGGCGTTCAATCAAATCAATCGGAAGGAGAATCGCAAAAATTAGCCAAACACAGGCGTCAATTTCAGGAATCAGGATCCATCACGCAATTAATTTCCGATCGACAGTCGAAAAATTGGAAGGATTGTAAATTTGAAAGTATCAGCGAGAGAAGAGAGTACTACTGTACCCTCCGAGTCCCATGGAGATGGCGCCTGCGGCGACCTCCGCAATTCCGGCGGTGAGAACGACGGACGAGGATGCGCTGGCGCCGGAGAGCCCCGCTGCCAACGCGAACGGAACCGTGAGTCCATCGGAGACGCCGATGATTATGTCGCGCACGACCTCACCGGCAGTGAAGTGCCTCTCCTTGTGCTGATTCAACAGCGCTCTCTCCATATCTGGTGCCATTTCATCTATACATATACTCACACATATATAATAGTAGTTTACACACACGCTCACACAAGTTTCTAGAACCTTCCCCCAAGTATATACGTATATTATCAACTACGTATGTATATATATATATGTATGTATACATACACATACATTTGATGGCTTTCATTGGAAGGCACACAACTGAATCTTTTGTTTTTATCTACTTCAATTTATTTATGTTCCAACTAATATTCCACGTTCCACGTGTATATATGAAAATAGGCGGTAGAAAAAATACAACCAAATAAATTTCACTCACTTTTTTTTTAATATATATTATTTTTCTTCATAAAGATCAAATTGCTGCTAAAATGCAACCGTGACCCCAGAAATATATATATATATATATCTATATTCACTCCAAAATATATTTTATTAGTGTAGACAAGCACGCCCATTGAGTAAAGTGAACTTGAGCGGAAAATAATTGTGGGATGCGCATGTCGGATAAAAGAGCTGGTCCAATAATTATAGTGGCATTGGAATATTTTGACTTTACTATGTGATCTCACTATTGATGATACTTTTTAAAAAGATTTTGTCACTTCAAAAATAACTAATAATATGGACAATAATTTTAGCATACCAAATTGATCCACAGGGAACATGGAGTGTCTCAACAATGAAAATTATTTCTAGCATTTCATTTTTAAATTTGACTTAGCTTTTATCAATTTAAATTTATATTTGAACTGAAATTTAAAGTTTGTTTTACTGTTAGTTTCAAATTGATTTAAAAGGAAATGTTAATTTATATTTTTGTTTATATAATATTTTGATGCTATTCCAGATGAACAATATTGATTGATTTCGGTATAAAATCACAACCAAATATGTTCAAACTTGAATTTGATCTAATATACATTTATATATAGATAATATAATAGATACTATAATATTTATCTTCTCCACAAATTTTATTAAGTAAATCTTAATAATCAACTAAATTATTATTTAGTAACTCTATATGTATAACGACTATACATGCACTTCATGTATTATAATTTCTAAATTCAGTAGAAGCAATTTAACAACACAACTTTAATTTACTATTCTTCAGCCAACCATAAATAATATATAGCATAACACAAAGACTGTCAAAATATATGCTTATCATATTGTATTATAATGTGCTGATTAATTTTAAAATTTTAGAAAATTTGAAGTTAATATTTCAGGAATCTTTGGTTATGGTTTAGTATCATTGACCTATTTACACATATTATACAAGATTTATACTCCCTCCGTCCCAGATACCGTGTCTGTTACACCGTAGACACGGTATGATATTTTAAGAGGGATGTAATTAGTAGATAATTAAGAATGTATTAGTGAAAATAATTATTCTATAATATAAATAATTATAAATTAAGATTAAGATAACTAATTAGTTTAATTAAAAATTTAAAAATAAATTTAAAAAATTTAAAATGAAATTAAAGTATGTAATCATTTTCTAAAAAAAGAAAGTATGGTATGTGGACAGATAGAAACGGCAACGTGGACATGGTATCTGGGACGGAGGGAGTATATTTTTAGTATGAAACTTTTCACTAACTCATTTTCAGACAAAGTACTGTGCTTCTACAAAAAAATATATAACTAATTCTATTTCAAATCTAATTATGTTCTAATTCCAATAAAAAAAAGTTTAGTTCATATTCACATTTCACAACAATGAAAGCACTATCATGAAACTAATATGTTTACCAAGCATCAGTAAATAAAACTACTTACACATTTTTTTTGTACAATTAATTACTGACAAAACACTGAAGCATTAAATCGACCTACGAACGAACATAGAATAAATTATAAAGCATAATATTGGGGATTGGAGACTATAAAATATTTAAAATCAGGTCTATGAGAATAAAATAAAAGAAAGGAAGGCATGACTGTCGTCACCTAAATATGAATTGGAATTACATTGTTTATTTTCTTTACTTATATTGTAAATCACAAAAAAAAGTAGACAATCAAGGAAATTATATAGACAATAGCAAATTATTAGTAAACACATATATCTATAGTAAAAATGTTTTAAGAAAATCGATCCCCTGTCATCAGTTTCTGATGGTTTCAGGTGTTCATTTTCGAAAAAAACATTTCAAAAGGAACCAGCACCTATCAATCAATCTATTCACCGTCGCAGAAGTCTATTATGCCAAAACGCAATGAACAAGATCAAACGAATTTCAACGAGCAAAAAATCAGAAAACCGACATATTCGGTGCGCCAAACCGACACAAGAGTTTCAGAAAATTCATACTAAGGAATACAAATAATAAATTAGTATGATTCTCCTCAGCTTAGGTCTCTATAGAGATTCAGCACGAAATCTCAGATAAAAGGTCGAACATACAATTAACTCATCATCGGAGATCCACAGCATTCAAACCCAAACAACCAAACGAAGGAGGAGACAGAAACAAAACAAACGGTAAAGAGATCAAAAGGTAAGCAGCAAAATTACCGGAAATCCGATCCACAGTAGAAGCACGATGAAAGTTAAGTATGAGTGTGATCCATCATCCACCTTCAGAGCTTTTCACAGTATATGAAGCCCTAATCTCGAGCCCTTTGCTGAATTTTTTGGGCCGAGAGGATGGGCCGAATACCCAATTGGCCCAAGCTTTCCAGGGATGTGTTTGTTTGTGTAGCTTTTGGTTGAATTTTACTATTTCGATTTTTATTTTTATTTTTAAAATACAAAATAAATATTTATTGTTTATTATTATATTAATATCAAAATTATACAATAATACATATTTATATTATATCAATAATTATATTAATTTAAAATTTTATTATCTAAAATTTAAACTCAAAATCAAAACTCACGAACAAAAATACTTTTACGTAATTATTTTTATTTTATATTAAATAATAATAACGTCAATTAAAATAAGTCAATATTATATATATAAATAATTTTTATATATTACTGGAAGGAAATAACAGAAAACGTGATCACATGGGTGTTCGCATGGGGCCCACCATGACCGGATGGTATAAATATCTCTCCGCTCCTCAACGTTCTGTTAACCGCATCACACAGTTTGCACAACCCACACGCACGCGAAAATTTCTGAAGCTTTTTCATACACGAAACATCTGAACAATCTCTGTTCCTTCTTCAACGATGAAGCGTAAGCTCAAAGCAAAATCAATTGAGGTAGCCGAAGATCAGCCGCTCTACTTTGTAAGGAAGCAGATCCGATCGCGGCAATCGCGCCGCCGCAGACTTCACATTTCCCCTATTGTTGCATTTCTGGAGACCAGCTCGCATATTACAGCAGTTAGTGAAGTCTCGTGTGATTCGAGCATCGCATCGGTTAGCAACCAGAAACCTCCATTGGCAGATGAGTTCCGGAGAATTGTTACTAGAACGTATTACAGGAAGCATTTTAAGGAGAGAAATCGTGATGAAGTGGTTGAGTTATCGGATAATTCATGCGTGGAGTCGTGCTCAGGAGTAAACAGAGAATTGAAGAGTAAGAATGCAGATGTTGAGGAATTAGAAGGTCAAGGAGGAGACGCTACCAAATCGGAAGTTTCTAGCGTTTCTCAGCTTTCATATCCGCAGAGAAATCAGTGGAAAGTGAAGGAAAATGATGAATCGGTTCATATTGCTCTAAATCAGGTAGAGTTTGAGGTTCCAGGAATTGAAGAAAATTTTGGTAAAGTAAGTGCGCATTACGAGGCTGAAACTCATCACTCATTGAATTGCAGCGATGTATCACTACATTCCAGTGAAAAAACAGTTAAAATCAGTGAAAGCAGAGCGACTGCTGAAGAGCTACCACTTCCAAAACTCTCATTCGACATTGATTTAGCTTGCTCAGAACAGTTCTCAAACGGAGGTATCATCAATGACGGAGAAGAAACAGAAGAGCACAACTCCTCTTTGTCGGAAATTTTCCATGTAACTTCAGATTCAGAACTGGACAGTTCGGAGTACACACCATGCTTTTGGAGTTACGCATCTGGAAGTCAATTTTCTGAGAAATCTATAGGAGATGAGAGCTCTTCCCCTACGTTTGAATTGTTCAGGCAGTTTAAACAGCTGTTTTGCAGATCGGCGTTTATCTTAAAAGCCTGTGAGGATCACAACTCTTGCGAAGCGAATGTGAGTTTCAAAGAGCCCTGTAGCTTTATATAATCTGTCAATGATGTCGTAATTCTCTGAAAATAGCTTTTGCCTGTCATGACGTTGACATAATTGCAACTGTGTTTTTAGAATGTTCTAGTATCAATTTTGCTTGTCCTTACGAATTATACTTGGCAAAAGACACTAAAATAAGTTTCTAACAGTAATAGCAAGCCAAGGACGCTGAAATTTTGGCAAATGCATTATTACTCAAGGAAACGAAACTAGAAATATATGGCCGGGACATATTTTTCCATTAGTTAATTTATTGAATATGCTGATTATTTTTTTATTATTTGACAATCAATATTTACGAATTGTGATTATGATTTCTGAGCGAAGGTATTGGGGGTAGAAGATGAAGAATATGAAGAGATGTACACAATGATGAGGAAAAGAGAGAGGAGACAGAAGTATGTGCATGACTATGCTGAAGAATACCATAATACTACTGACTATGGAGAATTGATTATTCAACAACGCTTGCACATGGTCCACTGGATTGTTGAGGTCAGCCTAGCCCTTTCTTTTTTATGAAAATTGATTAGTAAATGCAGTTGAAAGTAAGAAATTTAATAATCACTTATTTAAAATATGTTTCCATAGTTGTATGTGCTCATAATATTGTCCCTCTTGAATGTGAAAAGGGGAAAGCTGTGCAAATTTAGGTCCCTTCTTTTGAGTGTTTATTGCATGAGCTTGCGAATTGCTTTGTTTATCAAACAGAACTACAAATATGAGTATCGCCTACTGTTATACACAATAGAATCACATGAGAGGAGGCTTATATATATATATATATATATATATGGTATGGGAGATTAAGTCCAAAAAAGTAGTAGTTCACCAAAGGACTTGGCAAAACTTACATTGATATGAAGCAAATACTAAAATCCGATTTGTGGGTAATGTAATCATGCAGCAATCCACCAACAGGGAGCTGCAAATGGAAACCATGTTCTTAGGAGTCAATCTTCTTGATAGATTTTTTAGCCAAGGATATTTCAAAAGCATGAGACATCTTCAGATTGCTGGCGTTGCATGCCTCACTCTAGCCACCAGGATTGAAGAAAACCAGCCTGATAACTGGTATTGCTTTCGTTCTCTGATTTCATATCTTAGCTCACTGATCAAACGAATTGAATTGTTATCTTGAGCCATTAACGGCCACAAGCACAGAGAATAAGAAGTATCTCTATATCCCTCACATCCTGATTATGAGAGTTGCACTTTATTGATTGCTGATTTTGAACTTAGACATAATCCTTATAGCTAAATCTTGTACGCATGGATAGCTTCTTTTGCTCTTTTAGAGAGTGATAATATATTGAAGTTATCTATGAAGCATTAACTCATAACAGATCCTTAAGTATCACTAATCCATTTTTTTTTATCAGTGTACGGAAAAGGACATTCCACGTGGGAAGTAGCACATATAGTCGGTGTGAAGTGGTGGCAATGGAGTGGCTGATTCAGGAAGTTCTTAGTTTCAAGTGCATCCTTCCCACCTCATACAACTTCTTATGGTACGTTGCCTCATCTTAACCAATCCATTACCTAACCACTTTTGGAACAAATTACTCACTCTGCATTGAGTATAACAGTAATGATGTGGAAACAGGTTCTACCTAAAAGCTTCTAGAGCTAATGACGATGTGGAGAAGACAGCCAAATACTTAGCCGTACTCACACTGATGGGCCATCAACAGCTTTGTTATTGGCCTTCAACCATTGCAGCTGGGCTTGTTATTCTTGCAGCAATTGCAGCCAATCAAGACGCATCCTGCCACCGCATTACCGCTGTAGGTGTCTTCTTTGCATTCTTATGTTGAACACAATCTCAAATTCAGATATAATCTTGTCTTCAACCATTACCTTTATAATTACCTTCTGATGATGATCATGATATAATCTTGCAGATTCACGCCAGATTGAACGACACCGATTTACCTCAATGCTTGAAGGTACTACTACTAATCATAACATAGACATCCTGCAATTTATCTTGATCCAGTTTATTTCTTTTTCACATCTTTAATCTCCTGTGTCTTTCAAATTGACTAAGAACTTAACTGCAAATTCTGTGTGGCAGAGCCTGGCATGGTTGGTGAAGTACCTCTGAGTGGTAGCAACACTTTTCAAGTATATATAGTGCTCATAAGGTAACATTCTAAACACCAGTAGTAGCAGAATATTTGCTTCATTCTTTCTAAACAAAATCTTTCAAATCTATGTAATGTACATTCTTATAAGGTTTTCCCAAATAACTAAAGAATGAACTTTATCGTCTAACCTAAGAACTTCAGTTACCCTGATTAGATGACCTTATTTATTAGTCTCATCTGCAGAAATGACCGGAATAGTCGGAGATTCATTACCTTCGGCTTTTTTAGCCTCGGCCTCCTCTTTATCACAGCTCTCCTTCCCCTCCTCGGCCTCGGCCTCGGCCTCGGCCTCGACTTTCTCCTTTGTCCTCGCACTCACCCCCTCCGCTTTCTTCGACATTTTAGTTAATGCATTTGTAAACCATAAGGCACTGGTGGATACATACCAGTTGTTCATAATGGCAGATCCCGTGCTGCTCGCAGTCTGTCCGGCAGCTGCAAACGCTGTCCGCGTCTTTTCAGACACTTGGAACTTCTCATCCATTTCCTTAACCTTCTCGTTCATCACAGCCGTCCCCATACTCAGTTTCCGACTCAACCCCATCTTCCGGTCCAGGGAAGCCACTTTAGCCGAGGCATTAGATGTGAGCTGGTGCTTCTCATCAAACGCCTTCGCCTTGTTGATGGCATCCTTCCCTAATACAAACCCCTTAGCTAACATCGCCGTCACCACTTCCTCCGCCTTGCTCATCGCTGAACCTGTCGATGATGCTGCCTTCTGACAAACAAACATACAAAAACTAGAATCAGCCATTGAAAATAGAACTAACTCCCCAAGATTTATTGCCTATGTCTAAACATAGCCTCACTGAAGTGTAGAGAACAGCATCCGGAGGTGGTTGATAGTTCTTGCACAGCGCCACGGAGACTGAAACTCCGGCTATGGTCGCTCCCTGTCATTCAATTCACACACAACCATTAAAATACACATTCATCATGGCCATGTAGATGGTTTCACATACTGTCAAGAGCGCCGCAGTGTCGGCTCCCTGAGAATCCCGGAACATAACATAAGCGACCTTTGTCGTCTCAGTGTCTCTGGAAACAGTCCAATTTAGACATGTTAGATAATAGAATGACTGTCTCACCTAATATTCCACACTATAACCAAATATCACACTCTCTCTCACCTTTGCATCTCAATGTACTCAATCTGTCCCGAGAAAGAAAAGAACTTGTTGATATCTCTTTCAGAGACTCCTTCCGCAACATTGGTCACTTTAACTGTCCTAATCTGTCCACACATTTGAAGATCATTCAGCCAAAGCCAAAGTTGATACAGATAGAGAAACATTTTTTGGATTGCCAAACTTCATTATATGCTGCCCGAGAACTCACTTCCGAAACATCAATTGTCCAATTAGAACTACTCGTTGGCTGCGAAATTTCGCCTTTTCCTGATTCATTATTATTATCCATAGTTTCAGATCAAGATCATTCGCCCTCGGCCTCAGCCTCACCCTCTTATCACACTACACAGATCATTAAGAAAAAAGGAAGAAAATGAAAAAGATGGAAGATTGTTAATGGAACAGGAGATATAATAAATAAACTAATATGATAAGAAGCTTAAAACACACATTCTACCAAAAACAGATCAAATCCAGAGTGTGCTTTAATGATCAAATCCAGGAAACAAATATAAGGCTTTAATCAAAGAACACAACCAACCAGAACAGAAATACATTCACATCCATAAGCAAGATATTTCCAGAAATAATTCTTTCGTTTCCATACGCAGCAAAAAAGCAATCAATCAAAAATTTGTTTGGAGAAATCATTAAATCAAGCAACACAATACAATGTTGTAAAAATACCTAAGGTTGGTTATATATCCTTAGGAAATCAATCATAATAGTAAAGAACAATGTTGGCAAAGACAGCCAAAATCAAAAGCATATTCCCCTAACCATGAAAGCGGTGGAAATTAGGAAAACGTATACTATATATATTAGGCTGTTGGCGATTGATCGATTGATTGATGGAATCAGACTTACTGATTGATAGCAGAAGAAAGTAGCATTATTATTATTATTATTATGAATATAATTATTCTCTCAATCTATTTTTTGATTCACTCTCGTTTCGTTGTTGGAATATCAATCAATGAATCAGGTAGAAAGGATCTGGCATCGTCGTCGTCGTCGTCGTGGCCTTCGTCCCATTTACCGGGAACTTCTCGCTGCCCTACGAATACGCATTTTCTATTATATATCCTATGTCAAATAAGAAATCCCTTTTAGTATATTTAAGAAATGTTACTACAAACAATGAAATTTTAAATAATAATAAAAAGAATAATTCTCGTCCACCATAATTATGCTATTTTTAATTTTTTGTAAGTTACAGGAAAATGTCATATTTTTTTTTGTAGTGGTGTGTGGTTAACTTAATAGTATATATTATAAGTTATATACTTTCTTCGCTCAATTAAAAAAAAAAAAGTATAAATTTATTTTGACTCAAAATTTAAAAAATAATAATATTTTAATTATAATATTAGTTTAAAGTATTGTAAAGATAATTTTGTCTTTATTTTTTGGTGTAAAAATAACTATGTGATGTTAAAATATGAATATTATTTTTTTAAAAAATGAAGTATTTTTGAAAAAATTACTTCTGAGTTAGAACAACTCAAAAGTGATATGTTGTTTGTTCATGTTGTAATAACTTTGTAATGCCCCTTGAGTTGGTTGGTGCTAAGTTAAGTCAGACTATCTAACGTTGAATGGTTATTAAATGGATTAAATAGACTATGTTCATATTTTTTTTAGAAAATCCTATTGAAAGAACTCTAGAATTATTAAAGAATAAATAACCTTTAAGAAGTCTCTCATATTCCTTTATTAAACTACATATTTATAAAATATTAATATACCTAAATTCACATGCAAAAATCAAATAAGTAACCTTCGCTCTTACGAAAAGTGTATGTTGCATGCTTGTTTATTATGTAATGATCATATATATTTGATGAGTTGTAGGTATGATACTGAGTTATATCATTTAACATCTAAATTACCGCTATATATATATACACAAAACATAACATATAATTCTTTTTATATAACTAACAATTTATTATGTGTATGTTACACTTCAGTTAGGATATCGATTGAGGGTTAATTAATAGCATACTGATTAACTCAATCAACACACAAAACATACAACACATTCTATATAACTAGACTTTGTTTGCTGAGATTAAGTGTAGCATGCGTTGTATAAATATTATAATATGTTGTTTGTGTATGTATTTGAATTATATAAATATATACATTTTGGTTTGATCGAAACATAATATGATGTCAGTATATATATTATTGTATTGTCAATATATTCTAATTATATTTGATCGACATACTAATAGCCATCACATGTAATAATATGGTGAACCAATTAATTATCCAACAGTGGAGATGAAAAATGTTGAAGAAGCACCAATTTGGCCTGCCCGCCATACTCTTTCGGCAAAACCTCTTCACCGATATTTCTAATCATTTCTCTTCTTTCCTCTTCGTTCTTTACAAACACAACCTAACAAAACACAATTCATGCCCAAATTTAGCTTCAAACTTTCTTACCAATAACTATGAGGCCAACTTGAAATTTCAAGACTTTGTTTCTTTTAGACTGATATTGATATTATACTATTTATTAATTTTTTCTTCCTTTGAAATTATCAAATTTTAGTTAGAATAGTTATATATGATGTGATGTAAATAAGTACTGATGTGATATTTTGAATGTAAATTTAATTTTTAATATAATATAAAAAATAAAAAATATATATTTGATTTGATATTTTTTTTTTAAAATGAATAATAAAATTTTGGATGAAAACCCTCAAAAGAACACACCAAAAGTACCTTTTCCAATGAAGATTTTTCAAGAATGCGTGAAATAAGTCCCCATGCTCGGGCAAAGAATCCGGGCATATTTATCATGTATAGCTTGGCTAAGCGCTCTGGATAGTAAGCCTAAACAATAGGAAGAGAACAAAAGCATCTGATTACAAGACTACAAACTGTCTAACACAAAGACAATCTTGAAGTTACATGAAATGAACTTCAAAAAATTATTTTTTGATTGGAGATTCAAAATAAATAAATAAATAAAACCCTATTGATTGATATTAGAAGATGTGCAATGATTACTTTTAGGGTGTGTTTGTTTGCGGGTTTGGATTTTGAGTTGGGATTTGAATATTAAAAATTTTGAACTCGAATAGTTGTATGATGTGATATAAATAGGTGTTGATGTGATGTTTTGAATGTAAAATTGATTTTCAGTATAATATAAAAAATAAAAAATAGGTGTTTGATTTGATGTTTTTGGGGGGAAAAATTTGGATGAATAGTGTAAATCCAATCCAATCCCCCAAACAAACACACAATTTCGAGCTTCATATTGATGATATTGATAAGCCACACTTACTTTCAAGATTTGAATTCCGGTGATTGCACCCCGGATGTCGATGTTTTTGTAGGACATTTCTTCCATATCAACGAGGGCAATCGACCTTTCGTTTCCAATCGCGTTGTCTCTAATAGAACTGAAATTGACATATGAGAAGTTAAGGCATCAATGAATTTTAGTTTACCAAAATTACAAACTTGCTTAGAAAAATATCTATAAAAGTTAGTCGGAAATTAAATAGTCGTTTGATTAAATATTTTTCAAAAAAAAATTATGTATTTTTTACATAAAATTTGAAGTATTATATAATAAGAAAATTGAAATATATATATATACTTAAAGTGAACAAAGCTCCTCTATACTAATTCAAGTAATTGTTTAAATATTTATTTACTAGCATGATATCATTTAAAAATGATTAAAACAACAATATTAAATTAAATAGATGATATAAATAATGATAATAATAATAATAATTCATACTAAAATTATTTATTTTTTCTTAATAAAATATTATTAATAGATTATATTGTCGATACGAAGGATTAAATAAACTATTATGAAACTCAACTTTCAGAAAGGTAGTAGAATAATAATACTATACAGTACCTGGCAATGGTTTTGTCCATAAGATGAACCATAAATTCTGCACAACAAAACAAGTGTATTTCTTTTAAATTTTTACTGTTTAAATTTTATATTTTTCGAAAAATATATATTAGTATATAATAATCAAATAGTAACAAACTGAAAATTTTGGACTAAAACACACCCTATCTTAAACACAAAACGATCATCAAATTTATATTGTGTCTCATTAATAAAAGTTTTAAAATCCAAAGAAAAATAATAATAAAAAAAGGATATTACATAAAATCCAAAACACCTATGTTTCTTTAGCCGAGTTTTTCCAAATTTTGCTATTTGGACTCTGCGTTTCCCGAAAAATATATTTTTTTTTCTCTCACAAAATATCCCATAAAACATTATTTTCATTCCAAACCCAAACCAATTTTTTTCCAAACTCATCAAATCTATAAATCTATAATTGATTTTCTTCATTTAAATCTATCCGTCAAATTTGCACTTATACCATAAATTACAAATATTTTTTTCCATCGACTGAAATATTACTTACTCCCTCCGTCTCAAACAAGGTGCAATATTTGCTTTTGACACGTATTTTAGGATAATTTAGAAAATAGGTGATGTGATGCAGAGAGAAATATATATTTTAATTTTTTATTTAGATGATGTGAGGGGATAAACTGTGGGGTAGAGATTAAGTATAATTAATTATTTCCTATTTTAAAAATATTGTAGGGTGTTTGGGACATACAAAAAAAAAATATTGTAGGGTGTTTGAGACGGAGGGAGTATATTTTAAACACATAATAACAAATTTAGCACTACTATTACATGATTACATCACATATACACTATTAATAAAACACATTTCCTAATAAATTTCCTAAAAGACTCCATATATGTTTATATTTTTACAATAAAATACTCCCTCCGTCCCACATACCATATCCATATTGTCGTTTCTGTCCGTCCCTCCTACCATGTCACTTTCTTATTTTGAAAAATGATTATACACTTTAATCTCATTTTAAACTTTTTAATTTATTTTTTTAATTTTAATTAAACTAATTAGTTATCTTAATCTTAATTTATGTTATAGGATAATTATTTTTACTAATACATTCTTAATTATCTACTAATTACACCCCTCCTAAAATACCGTGTCTACAGTGTAGCAGACACGGTATGTGAGACGGAGGGAGTACTAGTTTTTCCACGCCTAAGTTTCCAATCATACAAATAATCTATTTGTCCTCCGATAAATTTTTTATTTGATTTTAGTACTTACATTAAGGGAAATTAATATTTTATTGATATATAACGTAATAAAGTAATCTAATATCTATTTTACCTTTGATATTAAAGTAAAAATAATATGGTAAATAAAAAATAGAAATATTTTAGTATTTTGTTGATACTAAAAAATAAATTTTTTTTTACTTGTATAGACTAAAATTGTAAAATATGAAGTTTATTCTTGAACAGAAAAAATATAATTTTCGCATATATATATAAGCTTATATAATCATATTATGAAATTATACTAACTCTTGAAGTGAAGTTGATCCTTGGAAGGAAAATGCTTGTTAACTTTTAAGATCATCAAAGAGTGTCCATTTCTTGATCTCCCTTGCAAATACACTTTTTTTGCATCTAATTCATCTCGGATTTCCGACTCCGGGATGTGTCCGAGGGGGACAAACGAAGCCCTCCATTTTTGCCACTCGACAAACATCTTGGCGGCCTTCGATGCATCCATTGATCTCACGATCAAGAACCTCATAAGACTCAGGTCCTCAAAACCCTGTAAGAATTGAACAAACTCCATTTTTATGTTAAAGAGACATCATCATCGATCGAACAAATTCAACTCCTCGAAAAATATGTATTCGATCAATGGTAACATGTGTTGTATGTATTTACCTCTGAGGAAGAACCAAGTTTTTGAATTGACTCTCTCATCTTGGCTATTGTCTCTTCTTGATTCTTGTCCATTTTTTTTTTGAACTTTTTTTTTTGTCGAGAAATTACAATGTTAGATATGATTTTTTGAGGATCTCAATATGGGTGTAGAGTTAAAGAGTTGTAAGAAAAATTAAACGAATCCGGCTACGATAATAAGAAATTGATGTTACCTAATTGGGGCCTCACGTTAACTTATTTTTAAATACCAATAAGGTGAATTAAATGTTTATCTTTTTTTATACTCATTCTGTCACAAATGACTCATTTCTTTTTAGAAATATAAGATAATTTTTTATATTTTTTTTTTTGTAAATTTAACAATTTTAAAAATACTTAACAAGAATACAAATTATTTAATTAAATTTCAAACTCTACACATGACTCATGAAGTCATGGGTTCAAACCTCCGACACATCAGGTCACCTGCCACATGATTCGTCCTATGTGACTTGCCCGTCGAGCCTAGTTTTCAGAGTATTAGGTTCGGCCGGGAGTTTACCCGGTGCGTATTTTCGGATAGCGGCTGCAGATTCCCACGTCATAAAAATAAAAAAAAAAAAAAAATCCTATTATTTTTATTTTTCTTTTCAATAAACAAATATTTTCAAATTTTTTTAATTTTTTTATAAAATCAATTTATATTAAAATAAATAAATAAATATAATTTTTTTATTTATTTTATAAAAATTTATTTTTTATAAAATAATATTCATATTTTTTAAAATAATTAAATACCTATTTTATTTTTTTTCAATTATATACATTTATTTTTTATTTTAAAAATAATAACAATACAATTTATATAAAAAATACTATTATAACTAATATACTTAATCTATTAAATTATACTACATAAAATAGTATATCTAGATTCATTTACCGAAATGGAGGAAATTATCAATTTTCTTTTTTTAATACTATCAAAATAAATATTTACTTATATCCATAGTATTAAATACACACTTCAATGCACCTGTCACGTGCCCCACGTATTTAACTCTACAACCTGCCTTGGTTGACTTCCTATTCATTTTGCCCAATGGGCTGATAGGTACAGCTGTATTTGCATGGGTTTTTGTATTTTTATTTTTATTTTTTTAATGCAAATTTGCTTATAGTTGTAAATAAATAAGTTATAAATGATTTTGCCAAAATAATATAAATATTTTATAATGTATAAATAAACTATTGATACAAATTTAAATAAAAAATAAAAAATAAAAAATTATTTCGTGGTATTTCAGGGTGTGTTCTTTTGTAAAAAAAAATTTAACATATTTTTTTAAAAAAAATTAATATATTAACTATATTTATTATTATTATATTTTCTAAACAATTTTCTGTACAACACATAAAAAAAATATTTATTTAAATTATTTTACAAAATAAATATACTTTTACTCTCTTTGTCATGCATAAAGTATTTATTTTACTTTATATACAAAAATTTAGGAAAAATACTATTAAATAATAATTAAAAAATATTAATAAAAATAATTATGGTATAATATACAAATTATATATTAAAATTAAAATAATTAAATAAGTTAATTAAGATTTAAAAAAATTATAAATTATAAAATAAAGATACATGTTAAACTGCTGGCAATGAGTCGATTTGTGTTGGGTTGAATATTTTAAATGGATTAAATCACTCCATTCTAATCCGACTAATTTATTATCGTATCGGTTCGTGTTCATTTATTTATTATTACGTCGGATTTGTGTTGACACATGTTTGACCTGTATATATATAATTAAATCAAAATCTTTAATTCAAATTCAATTATTGTTTGTCAAGTCGTCTTGTTATATATGTTAGTATTTATTGGTTTTAATGATAATGAATTAGGTTAAATTATTTAAAATTTAATTTAATTTAAATTAATATATGGCTAATTATTAAATTAGAATTATTTTTTATATACAATAAATATATTAATAAATATTAATATATTATAACCGAGTTGTCCTGTTAAGTTCGAGTTGAGAGCTTCAATCTTAACCCGATCCGTTTATTATTGTATCGGGTTTGTGTCAACCCTTATACATAATCGAATTAATATCTGTAACTCAAATTCAATTATTTTGTATCCGACTTATTATATCAATTTTTGCCAAACTTTTTTTTAAGTATATTAAAGAATATTACTATTCTATATATAATTGAGCAGTGTTTCAGTAGTGACTAAAAAGTACTTTGGATAATTGATAGAGAATTATTTGATTTTTTTTTAAAATAAAATATAATGATATTTAATCCTTTGATTAATGTGATGACTGTATTTATGTATTGTTGTGAACTGAAAATGATAGTTTTGGGAATATATAATCTGTCTCAAAATCTTTTACAATATTTTATTTATATATTTTTACTGAAATACTTTTACAAATTAGTAAAATTTCATATATAAGTGAAAAATAAATAGAGAAATTTTTAAAAAATAATAATAAACATAACAGTAAAATATTAAAAATCTATATAATACTCTCTATTGTCCGGCTTCAAGAGTCACATTTATTTTTTTCATATTGATCTTTAAATATTAATTATTATATCAAATATTGTACAAATTAAGAGAAAATGACAAAAGTACTTCTATTAGTATTTTATAGTACTTTTATATAAAAAATTATACAAATATAAGAATATTTTTAATGTTAAGTCAAAAGATAAATATGTAAACCGTAGAGACAGATGAAAATAATATTAAATTTAAAGGTTGTGTTCTTCTAAGTCAAGAAATAAGCGGCAAATTCTCCAAAATCATTACTCAATAAATAATTATTATTTAAAAATATCAAAAACTATATATATATATATGATAAAGTTCAACAATTCAAACACATAAAATATTATTCTTATTTATACTATTATAATTCAATAAAAATATTTAAAACTAAAATACTAAATAAACAAACTCTGAGTATTGATTTATTTAAAGAAATTCTTGTGTCGTGAAAATATATGAGTAGGGAGAAATTTGTCATTACAAATTAAGAGTGGAGATCGAAACAATCACTCATCGATCCAACGGTAGACATGGAAAATCTTGAAGAAGCGTCAATTTGGCTTTGCCACCATACTCTAGTGGTAAAACTTCTTCACCAATTTCTCGAATCATATCCCTTTTTTCATCTTCGCTATTCACCATCACAACCTACCAATGCCCAATTTAGCCCATCAAACTTTCTTACTAATAAAAATTCAGACAAGGGCATATTTGTTTTATACGATAAAATTCTGATTTTTACATCTACTTTATGAACGATACTAAATATCTAAATTACCTTATCTAGCAGAGATTTCTCAAGAAAGCGCGAAATAATTTTCCATGCATGGGTAAAGAGTCCGGGCACATTTATCATGTACAGCTTCGCCGAGCGCTCTGGATAATATGCCTACGCATGCAAAAGAATAGAAAAATACGAAGTTATAAATATTACATTAAATACCTATTTATATTATATTAGTGTGTTTGGTTTGAATTTCAAAACCAAATTAACACTATTCAGTTGGCATGATTTCCGACAAAAATAAACTATCTCATTCTATACACTATCATATCGAAATACTATTTAAACAAAAACTTATAAAAATATCAAAACGAAACAAACTCAATTCAATTCACAATTTTAGTATTCACAAACCTTAAACCTAATAACAAACCCTCCGACCAAAAATCCCAAAGTGGTCGGTGGGTATAACTATCAAATCAAATATATTTTTTATTTAAAATATTTTTATATAAAATATTATATCAAATTCCTTTAAGAGTATGTTTTTTTAGTCAATTTTTTTTAAAATTTTACTATTTGGACTCTGCGTTCCTCGAAAAAAATATATTTTTCTCTCTCACAGAACATCCCATCAAACATTATTTTCATACCAAACCCAAATCAATTTTTTTCCAAACTCATCAAAAGTGGATTAGATGTTGAATTTGATATACACTTGATCTGAGGGCAATATGCATGCCCTTGGAAGTAGCTAAAGCCGGTATACTTACTTGCAAGGTCTTAAATCCGGTAATTCCGCCGCGGATGTCGATGTTTTTGTGCGTGACATTTTCCATATCCACAATGCAAATCGATTTTTCGTTGCCAATCTCTTTGCCTCTAAGAGAACTGAAATTTGAAGATAAAAAAATTTAAAAATACAAACCTTAAAGTATGTTTGTTTGTACGTTATGAAGATCAATTTGAAGTTCTTAATAAAAAACAATAATAATAATAATAATAATAATATAAATAAATTGAATTAAAATAGTTATTTAATTTTAGATAAATATGTGTTATGTGATATTTGAATGTAAATATAACAAATATGTGTTTAATTCAAATTTTTTTAAAAAAATACTCCCTAGGTCAAACACCTTGTAATATTTTAAAATAAAAAATAATCAAATATATTTAATCTGTACTTCACAATTTATCTCATCAAAGTCACTAAAAAGTAAATATATATTTCTTTTTTTAATCGTATCCCTTAATTCTCAAATTATAATACTTAATACAATAATACTATCCTATTAAATTTTCCAAATGAAACAAATATTGCTAACATGTTTGAAATTGAGAGAATAGTAAATAGGAAAGAATGTATAGATATGTGTATATATATATAAACATGTATTTATGAATTTATTGCAAAAAAAATAAAAATAAAAAATAACTATATTACCTGGCAATGGTTTTGTCTAGAAAATGAACTACAAATTCTGCACAAGGAGAAGAGTAGTTTTAGACGATTGTGCTTGTGAATATCTTCATTAATATTTTTGCAGGATAATGTAATTAATTTATCATATAGTGATATTCTATCTCTGGAAAATCACATATAACATTTAACTTTTAAGTTTTATTTGGCATTCTAATAATGGCATCCACCTCTTATTTTAATTTAAAACATTATATCCAAAATATATTTTTTCCTTTTCAGTTCAAATAAAAATATCAAAAAAAAAAAAAAAAAGGTGTGTTTGTTTGGGAGTTTAGATTTTGGATTGGGATTTGAATAGTAAAAATTTTGAATTTGAATAGTTGTATGATGTGATATAAATAGGTGTTGATGTGATGTTTTGAATGTAAAATTGATTTTTAGTATAATATAGAAAAAAAAAAATAGGTGTTTGATTTGATGTTTTTGGGGAGAAAAAAATTGGATGAATAGTTGAATTTAAATCCAATCCTCCAAACAAACACCTTAAAACACATAAACACAAATGGTGTGTTTATTTTAGTTATGTCTTTTATTTTATTTTTTTGTTTTTTTTTTAAAAAAATAATAATTTGGATATAATGTTTTATAAGATTAAACAATATATTTTTGTAAAAAATTATAACAAATATATATATATATATATATACACACTAACTCTTGAAGTGAACTTGATCCTTAGAAGGAAAATGTCTGCAGGCTTTAAAGATCATCAAAGTGTGTCCATTTCTTGATTTTCCCTGCAAATACATTTTATTTGCATCCAATTCATCTCGAATTTCCGACTCCGGGATGTGTCCGAGGGGGACAAACGAAGCCCTCCATTTTTGCCACTCGACAAACATCTTGGCAGCCTTCGACGCATCCATTGATCTCGCAATCAAGAACCTCATCAGATTCAGGTCTCCAAAACCCTGCAAGAACCAACTCCAATCCATATTTATTGCATCATCGAATTAATTCACTCCTCGAAAATAAAGACAAAGAAATGTAATTTTATGTTACCTCAGTTGAAGAACCAAGTTTTTGAACAGATTCCCTCATCTTGGCTACTGCCTCTGCTGGATTCTTGTCCATTTTTATTTTTTTTTTCTTACACTTTTGTTAGAGATGTAAGAAATGGTGTGTAATAATAGAGGGTTTAGGCTTTGGGATGAATGTAGAGGACATTAATGAATCAGTAGTCAACTCTAATAAAGAAATGAAGTTTGATTGCTATTTAAGGTATGTATGGATCTTTTTTTAGGTTGTAAGTGATCTTGTTCGAGTAATTCGATGAATTATAAAAGGGAGAATGAATCTAGATCTCTTCGATATTCTAATATATGTTTTAAAATATATATACATATATATAATTTGCTTCGATCCTACATTTTAGCCATGCAAAAAAAAAAAAAAAAAGTTATAATTTTAATCTTAAATAGTTTATACGTTATCCTTTAAGTAGACTCTATATAAAAATAATATGTCCTAGTAACTCTAACAACGTTATTTTGTGTGTATCTTGTACTTACCAAGAATGCATGTTGCAAATAAAATTTTCATAATATATATAAAGTAAATAGCAAAGTGGAATCAATATAGTATCTCTAACTACTAACAATAAATATATTGATGAGCACATTGAACTATTCAACCGACACAATTATGCAATTATCAGGTATGCCTCCTCTGCCAACTTTGTTCATTTTGGATTTGAATAATTGAAATTTGGTTTAATTAGTGTAGACACTAAAAATATATGTCTAAAATCAATTAAATATCATGTATTTTGGAAGAAAATAAAATTCCAATAAAATAAATATATGGTATTTAATTATGCACATATGTTAATTTTTGTACAATAAATATCAACCATTAATGCAAAATCTGCTTAAAATGGAAGATATCGTACAAATATTACGTGCATAAATAGAGCCATAATAAATTTGGCAGCAAAATAAATTAATCTTGTCAATAAAGGAAGTATATAAATTAATATCTTCCAAACAAGGCAATGATATAAAGATCTTGTCAATAAAGGAAGTATATAAATTAATATCTTCCAAAAAAGGCAATGATATAAAGATTTTGACGAGAAAGGAAGGTGCATAATCAAATCCGTCAAAAATGGAAAACGGCATCCGAGGGAAAAGGAAAGATTATAAAATCTTTCCATCCACGTGGCACCATCCGAAAAGGAAGCCAAGGCCACCCTCCCCTATAAATAGGAGCCTTGGCCAATTCATTTAGACACCGAAGTTCATTTGAAGACTCGCGCAAGGGTAAGTCTCTCTAGACTCTCTGCAATGTTCTTCATTGTTCTTCGTGTCCTTCGAAGCGTTCTTCGTCGAAAAGTCACCGATTTGGACAAATGATCCAATATTGGTTGACGAATCGATGAAGTTAACGTTCTTCGTCGTATGTCCGAGCCGGAGGAAGGATCAAATCTCTCAAAGCTATCGAGGAATCCATCAAAGCCAAGGAAGAGCCTCCAAAGTCGCTCCCAAAGCTTGAAGATGTTCGTCGCGTTCTTCATAAAAGGCGCAAACCAGGCCCTCTTCGATCCAAAAGTCAAAGGGACACGCCGCCAAAAGCGTTATGGAGCACTAAATCTCTCCCTCAAAGATCAAATTCCGTCGGATCATCCAAAGGAGGCATCAATCCGAAGCCGACGATCAAAATCGCCAACATGGATACCAAAGTCCTTCAAAAGCCGGCGAAGTCAAACCGAAGACCAAAATCCCTTCGGATCAAAGAAGCCACCCAAATCCAAATTGGAAAAATGGATCGACCCGGAGAGAGAATCAAAGGATCCGAATAGAGAATAGGACCCGCATTAAATTTAAATACAAATATAATTTGTACAAATTTTGTGTTTATAAAAATATAACACAATTTTTTTGTCTACAGATTTTTGGCACGCCCAGTGGGACATCTCTACCTTTCATCTCTCTTTCCGTCGAATTCTCAAACAATCAATGGCTTCCTACAAAATCAAGACTTCCAATGCTGTGTCGAAAGCTGCTGCTCTAGCCGCCACCGCCAAAGGAGTCGCTGCTACTACATCAAGAACCTCAAGTGCTTCAATGAATGCTGGAGTGATGACACGAAGTATGGCTAAAAGAGTACTGTCATTTTCCGAGGATGCACATCCGAAAATCACAGAGCAAAACTCACTCTATGAGGAGGACGAAAGCTTCAAGAGTACCTCCGCACCGGGCACCCCTCAAGAAGTTGCAACTCGTTCGACCGCATCGAGTTATGCCCCGGTGATGACCACGAACGCTTCAAACATAGAAGACCAACTTGTTGCACTGGCCAAAGTTGTTGAAGGGATGTCTCAACACATGCAGCAACAAGACAATGTCATCGCAAAACTGCTTGCAAAATTGGACAAGCCGGAACCAACCAACCAGAATGCTTCGGAGGCCCAAAATGAAGCAGAAACATCCATGGATCAACGCCACGGTAAAGAAAAAATGGCGGGACCAATGCCGTTTCAAACATCATCTGACTCTTTCATCCATCTATCCCAACTTGACGAGTATATCAAAGGAGCTCTCAAAAGGGAGTTTGAAGGAAGTTCAAGGCCAACAAATATGTATGCCAAGCCTTACACTTCAAGGATCGACGCCCTCAAGATGCCGTTGGGATATCAACCACCAAAGTTCCAACAATTTGATGGCAAAGGCAACCCAAAGCAGCATGTGGCACACTTCATGGAAACATGCAACAACGCTGGGACATACGGCGATCTCTTGGTAAAGCAGTTCGTACGGTCATTAAAAGGCAACGCCTTCGACTGGTATATCGACCTGGAGGCTGGTTCCATCGACAGTTGGGAGCAGTTGGAGTACGAGTTCTTGAACCGGTTCTACAGCACAAAAAGGACCGTCAGTATGACAGAACTCACCAATACTCGTCAATGGAAAGATGAACCAGCAATCGACTACATCAACCGCTGGAGGAGTTTGAGCTTGAACTGCAAAGACCGGTTGTCTGAGGCCTCCGGTATAGAGATGTGCGTCCAAGGAATGCACTGGGGGTTGAAATACATCCTGCAAGGGATCCGACCCCACACTTTCGAAGAACTTGCTACCCGCGCTCATGACATGGAGTTAAGTATGGCTTCAAGCGGGATGCACGGACCACCAGTTCAAGAATCTTCAAAAGCAAAAAGATACGAAAGATATGATGCCGCAAAGAAGGGGAACAACGCCCCTATCAAATCTTTTGGAAAAGAAGCCTTGGCCATAAAAGCGACGACCAAAGCACCTATGAAGATCCAAAGTAAAGAAAAGGAAGTTGCAAGGAAAAGACAATCAACTCAGACAGAAAGACCGCCAAGGCCAACCCTTAAAGAGTTGCAATCCAAAACTTATCCTTTCCTGGATTCTGACGTCTCGGGAATCTTTGACGATCTACTCAGAGAAAACCTCATTGAACTTCCGAATTCAAAAAGACCGGAGGAAGCTGGAAAGGTTGATGACCCAAGATATTGCAAATACCATCGTGTCGTAGGACATCCCATCCATAACTGTTTCATCTTTAAAGACAAAGTCATGGAGTTGGCTCATGAAGGAAAGATCACCCTTGAAGACGATTCTGCTTCTGTTAATGTCACTTCAATCATGTTCGGGTCTCTCGAAGTTGACATAAAAGACAAAGAATCATATTGTCTCACTACCGAGAAAGGTGGCAAGGCGATCAGAGACAAATCGAGTGAAGAATGTGCCACGATAACTTTCACTGATGAAGATTTGGTGTTAGGATCCAAACCCCATAATCGTCCATTACTGGTCATGGGTTATATCCATGAACAAAGGATTAACCGGATATTCTTAGACGGAGGAGCTGCAGTCAATGTCCTTCCTCTATACACATTGCAAAAATTGGGAATACCAGTAGATCAGTTATTCGAGAGTCGTATGACAATACATGGATACAATCAAGAGGGGCAAAGAGCACTTGGCACCATAAGATTGAGACTCTTAATCGATGAAATGGAAACTAACCCTTTGTTCTACGTGATAGACGCAAAGACATCTTTCAACGTTCTTTTGGGAAGACCATGGATACATGAGAATGGTGTAGTTCCATCAACGTGGCACCAATGCTTCAAATACGCTCAAAATGGAGTGACAAAGAAAGTTCTTGGAGACACAAAGCCATATGCAGAAGCCGAGTCACACTTTGCGGATGCCAAATATTTCTCTACAGAAGCAAAAAAATCCAAGGTACATGAAGATGTCAAAGCACCACAACCAAACTTGGGGGCAAAGTTAAGAGATAAAGAAAAAACACCTGCCTCAGGTTCTGCAGACTCATTAATTGAGCCTCTAAAAGATTTGACTCTTCCGAAGACCTCACTCAACCCAATCCCCCCATCGCAGACAAGGAATGGAAAAGAGGAAAAAATAGAGGCTATGCGATTGCAAAAGGACAAAAGCTTTGGCCCAAAAGCCTACAAACTTCTCACAAAAGCTGGATATAATCCAAATGAGGAATCACTGCTGGGAAAGTTACCACCACAGACAACCCAAGGTTCGAGGGCTGGTCTTGGGTACATGCCACAAGCTCCCGTACGCATCGCTATCAAAAGGGCTGCAAATCATCATATCACCGAAAGCGAGACTTTGTCTTCCAATTCACCTCAAAAGGGGAAGAATGCAAGAGTATCGGTTTTCGAGAGGCTAAAACCTTCTGTCTTCACAAGGTTAGGACCAAAGATCAATAAAAAGAAAAACAAGACGAATTCCACATCAACAAAATATGTGGAGATGGATGAAGAAATCAAGAGCCGCTTTCCATCCCGCATGACGCGTCAAACAAAAATGACGATACATTGCGGTAAAGTTTTAAAGGCTAAATGGCAAACCGTTGTCTTCACCAAACCCAAAGAAGATAATGAAGAAAGTGTTGCATCATCCTGCTACATCACTGAAGGGGGAGAAGAAACAATGATTGAAGAAGATGCAGGAAATGCACCCGCCGCGCTCGAAGAAGGTATCAAAGCTGCAGTGGACGAGTTAGAAGAAGTCAACTTGGGAAATGAAGATCACCCAAGACCTGTCTATGTCAACAAAGAGCTGGGTGAGGATGATATGAATGCCTACATCCGACTTCTCAACGAATTCCAAGATGTCTTCGCTTGGTCATATAAAGAAATGCCCGGCTTAGACCCGAAAGTTGCGGTCCACCATCTAGGTGTGAAGAAAGGAGCTCGCTCTGTGAAGCAAGCACAACGAAGATTCCGTCCTGAACTCATCC